GAGTAGCCTCTGGTAAACGTTAACAAAAAACGATGGAAAGATCCACCATTCTATAGTTGGGAAAACTCACTATTTCGACTGGGCCATTTTCAATAGTTTTTTGTATATGTTTACCAGAGGGTACTGTAGCAGTTATGTTACAGGGTTACAGGCTGGTGCCCCAGTTGGGAATCGCTAAGTTGGTGGGTTTATAAGTCCTAAATAACTCTGTCCTGTCTTTTGCTGGTGATATATCGAACTAGTTTTCATGTGATTGTAAGCCAATTATAAGTGGGGGGGCACCACCTTGTATAGTTACAACTACCAATGATATAACCCAAGTCAACTTAGCTATCAAACGGAGCATCGACAAGTTGGTAGTTTTTTTCTCTTTAGTTGTGATGAAACATTGAAAACACATGTTTTTTGTTCCGGTTCAATCCAACAAAAAACAAATCACTTGGAATGTTGATCCCTTGCTCCATTCTTCTCCAATGGTGGGCTGCTTGAGTGCCAGGTGCATCCCTCCTGGCGAAGCGTCTAAGTATCCTGCCATTCAAGCAGGACAGCACAAATTGGCCAAGTTTAAGGTCACTTGGGCAGCAGAAATCCATAGGAAGCGATGATTAAAGAATGTAGAAAGCCATGTCCATGGTAAATCGGAACTTTTGGGGGCTAGGAATCTCCATCCTCCTAATATTTAACAGGCACATCGTATGGTCCTAAATATATGTAAATATGGTCCTATATCTCTACTAAACCAACATCGTTTGTCCGTTGGTTGATATTCGTGGGATGGCATGGTAATTTCAGTATCACTATCTTAGGATCGAATCTACACCAAGTTCCATTGTAACTGGTACCATTTGGCTATGACTAACATAGCGAACTGGAAAATCACCATGCTATTAATAGGTAAACCATATTAAACCATCTATTTCTATGGGCCATTTCCCATGGCTCATGGCTTATTGGAGGAACGGCAGATGGCTGCGGTCAAGCCATAAAAAAGTGTGGCCTTTCAACTACTGCCGGTGATCCAATATGGTATTTAAAGCCCTGGAGAATTATGCATCGAGTATATATCCAAACCCGTGGAATGATATGGTTACTATGGTTACTCCCCATAGTTAGAGGGTAATCACCAACTATAATAGTTAATATATGGCTATATCTGGTTGGTGGTGACTGGAACCACGGAATTTTATGACTTTCCATTCAGTTGGGAATAATAATCCCAACTGACTAATATTTTTCAGAGGGGCTGAAACCACCAACCAGTTATGCATTGAGTATATATCCAAACGACTATAAGAACAGAAGAAGAGCCGAAAAAGACCTGTTGACATATAACTTATATTATAAACCAACTCAGCTCACATAAATCATCCATACAATGATTCATTAGATTAGTTGTCAGCTATATTAGTGATTCTAACTTGATTATATCTACCCATATTAGTTGTCATATTAGGCATCATGATTTCTCGCAACATAACACACATGATTGTCTATACCAGCAAGGATCACTCTGTCTGGATTATATGGGAGAATTGGATAATTATGTCGTTTTATCTTATGTTTAGTCATCCCTTATCATCCTATCCTTGTTGTAAGATATTTCGGAGTTTAGTTCCACAAATTCGCCGTTTCTCGAATCATAGTTGTAGGTGTTCCCAACTTGTGGAGGTCATAGTCATACCGATTCATGGCACGAACTGCACTCCCAAGTAATAGTTGGTTCCGTTCACACACCTAGCTATAAAGATATATCTACCAATCCTTAACAATATATTGGTTATAATATATATATATATACGTACCCAAAAACATAAATGATCACTAATTATTAAAGATCATTGACTCCAATCTTATCATCATTACCTCCATGGTTGCCATATCAACCCCCTTTATGATCATCCCTTGTCCCTTGTTGCTGTTTTCAGGTACAGTCCGGTTCCGAACTCGATGACCAAAGCGCGGAGTTCTTCCGTCGCACCGTGGAAGCACCCAAGGGTGCCTCAATGGGGGGCGCCTGACGCAAGAGGTAGGGCCAGGTAGCGAGTTTCTGTGGGCAAATGGCTGATTGGTGTGGATTGTTCCTTATTTTTCCAGGAAAAAGCTGGAGAAGAGCTGAAAAAAGAGAGTTTGAACGATTGAATGATGAATTCCGAGAAATTATTCGTCAGATGAGTTGTTGAAACGAACTATTTGGAATGTGTATCTGTGAAGAATCCAGTCAATCGCCAAATATGCAATTTGTTTGCTTTTATTTATCAGTAGGTCAAAGTAACCTGATGACTCATCGATTAGACTTGGCGCACCAAAAAAAAGCGCTGTGCGAAGAAAAGGCCCCGAGGTTATCGCTGCATCGGGAACAGCTGTTGACACATAAGAAACCAACAAGGATTGTCGTGGTATTTCATGGTGAGCAACAAACATGTGCTTCCCATGCAAGGTCCCATAGTTGGCTAAGTTGGTTTATAACTCCCATAACTATGGTTTATAGTAGATATAACTATAGTTAATGGAGTTTATAAGCCAACTTCTAACTGGGGGGCACCATCCCATGTGTGTTGGTTCATTCCGCTGGCATTCCACCGAATTGAACCACTGGATTTCCAGGTGGTGATGAATCCACGTGTATTGTGGCTGAACTTTCATCGTCACTGAGGCTCTGCGAAACGACGGAAGGTCACTGCAGGCCGGGCTTTCTGTGAAATTTCGGAGTGATTTAATGGAGTTAACCAACAGACATGGGGATACAATGGGTAAAACTATCAACCCAACTACAAGATGGTGCCCCAGCCAGTGCCATTTGTTGGTTTACACGCCACACTAGTAGATATATCTACAATAAACACAATCATTAGCCAAGTTAGAGGCCTAACATAAGTTGTTTATTTCATGGGCACCACATTGTAGAAAAGCACCAAACAAAACTTAATCCAGAAATGTGGGGGGTCAACTGGTCAACAAGCAAAAATTGTCAGCATCAAGGCTACAGCTTAGTCGTGAAATTTGAGCAAGAAATGATGGGAGTAACTGGACAACACTGGAACTTGAAGATGTAATCAATAGTATCGTGTTTTTTTTTGCGAACCAACAAATCCTGGCATATCCTGGTATAAAAAAAAAATGATGGTGGTAAAACATTAACATAATTGAACATATACCAATGAAATCCTCAGCATATTTTGGTGATGCAACGTCATGACGGCGCCAAACAGATTCCAGAGTTTGGCCACAGCCATGACCGGCCCGGCTTGGGGAATATTTGGAGCCACCAAGCACATGAGATGAGATATATAATAATATATAACTATATTAGATAAGTGTGGAAAGGTTTTTTTATACAAGGAAGACATATATGGTGGTATTAATCTGGTAGTTATTCAATAGGTATTGAGAAGCGAGAACATATCTGGAGATTTGCAAGGTTTCTTTCAACCCGAGCTGGTGACGTATTTGGTAACCACCTAACTTTTGAAAAAAGTCCCTTACTATGGCACATCTCAGGATATCCGATGCCACAAGATAGTCTGTATGAGTTTTCAATAGTTTTCAGTATATCATTATGAATGAAAGCTTAGTAGTTCCTTTTGGTTTACCCTCTGGTTATTTAACATAGCCATGGTATAGATGGCCCTAATCGAAATAGATGGTTTACCTATTAATAGCATGGTGATTTTCCATGGCTAACTGTTAAATAACCAGATGGTATTCTCCAAATACACATTTCTTTGGGCCTCCACAGAGTTCTTTGTCGTTCACCGCCATACCTGTTCCGTTTCTTGCAGCCGATCCGTGGTTCGACGGTTCGGGAACTCACTCAATGAATGACCATGGCTATACATTGGCTGCACATATCCACGCATCCAATGTAGGTTTTATATATATGGTTTTTATCAAAAATCAAAACCAATAGAGTCCAACCGATTTGATTAGTACTAATCCATTTCAACAAAAGTCAATCAGTAAAATTGTGTGTTTAATGCCACATCTTCGAAATTGTGGTTTTGAACATCCTATTGCCTATCACCACGTATAGCAGTTTGAAGCTACACAAAGCTGATTGTAAGCATACTGTGTTACGTCATTTCAGAACTGATAACACTCAACTCAACAACAACTCCGGACAGTGCAAAGCTGCGCCGTCTTCAACTGTGCCTTGAAAGCATTTTGATCTCGGTCGGTTCATAGATGCGGTTCCCCTGATCTCTTGTGTGGCTGAACCTCGCACGTTGGATACGTCCAGCTTTGGGTTCCATTGCATGAACTTGCAGGTCTATGCCTTGCTTCATTTCGCGTTTCTTCTGTATATTGAAACTAAAATAGTTGTATGGCTGGATATACGATACTAAATATGATACTGTAAAGTTTGGAAGTTGGACGGTATTGGCCCTGCAAACCCCCTGGATATGGATTGATATGCATTAACCAATGTAGTGTCCCCACAGTAAATCCTGATTGGCAGAATTGCCAGACCTGTTTTTAGGGCAGACAGTGGCTATATCCACCCTGGCAACGTGGAATTTGGGCCATTTGGGTATGGAGATATGGGTTCGTTTGAAAATCTGCTTCCCTCCCCAGCAAAAAATGATGGTTTTTAGGGTATAGCCCCCATTTCCAGAGTCATCCATCTGAAGTTTGGTGAAAAGTATGGTCCGACTCTTCGGCTGTTCATTTGAAAGATTTTTGTTGAGCCCCGGGCCCGCAGATGTTTTTTCAAATACACAAAAGCAACAAATGCAACAAAAACTGGTGTTTACTGTTTACCACACCCATGCTTTAGAGCATTCAAGTATCCAAGTCCAGGCTGTCCAGGCTGTCCAGGCCTTATATACCGAAGCTGCACACTTTAAAGATGGATGATACGGTATTCAAGAATATTCAAGATCATTACTGATTATATAATATATGATATGATGTATATATATATATTAATTATCATATTCAAGTAACCAGTTTTAGGGCCCCCATATTTTGACGCCCCAAGATGGAGATACCAGGAATTCGCAATGGCCGATGAGGAGCCATCGGTCAAGACCCTGGTGAAGCATCCATAGCATATGGGCTTTGACAGTTTAAAAGTCTGTAACTCTTCCCCCAAAAAAAATCTGGATGGTCTAATAATGTTCAGTAGCAAACAAATACAGTGGGTACATGGGTACCCCAGTCTTGCATAGCCATGGCAGCCATGAGGTCCGTCGATAAAATTAATGTGGTTTATAATAGACTAACTTATAATCGAAGGGCACCGCCTTGTAGAAAGTGGGATGATGGTAGATCTAGTCACTAAGCTTTTGTTGGGATTGTGGCGCACCGAGCATCAACCCAATATGTCATCTCAGTTTCCCACGTGTTGCTTGTTCATACTCCATGTTCGTATGTTTCTGTTGGTTAATATACAGAGTACACCCCTACAATACTTCTGATTTGATTGTTTGCTGAACCACTAGCCAATGGATATAGTAGTATGTTGCTTGTTGCCACTATCCAGATCGCCCATGCATCTTACAACAGCCAAGCGTCAGCCTCCACTTTGTATGGGTTGGTTGAATACCCTTTGTTTTTATTTGTTTTTTAATGACTTTCTTCACCAGCTTAACCAGCTTGAAGCAGTACTGCTTCAATATTGGTTGCATCCCCATGTGGTTGCATCCCCTATGTTTAATGGTCAATAATATCGCTTGAAACCACCAACAAAAACACCAGAACCATCATGTTCAGACCCATTGCATTTTTTTTTATAATGGGTTTTCCTTCCGTTTCTGTTTTTTTTTGACCATATTTTTGTTACCCGGATACTCCATTTGCTGTACCTACATTTACCCCCAAAATAGCCCAGATGTAGCCAAATCTTCCCCCAACATGTGTATAAAAGGGTAAGTTCCATCCCAGTTTCTGTTGAAACCAAACCATCGATGATTGATGCACCAGGATCTGAGATTGCTCAACGTCCTCCAAGGCTTTCCTCCACAAGATGTGGCTTGGCCTGGCCACGCCGCTGGATGGATGACCGTACCAAATATCTGGGTCAATTTCATCACCACCTCACGTCGCGACCGAACCCTGGAATCATGGTTTTCATAAGGGAAATCATCCCCTTTTATGGCCTTAATTCATCTTAATTCAGGTTAGTGAAATCTTATTATTTTCCCAGACATATGCCATATCATGTTTTGACCATGACACATATGTCAGTATGACTTTTTTTTCTTGGACCATAAAGACACAACTATCGCTTCAAGTAACCCCAAAAGAGAGAACCGTCATTGATTACTTCTTACTATGTCAGCAGCAATGCGTTTTTTTCCTATCTTGTGGGGGGTGCTACAAAAATCCACATAGACTTATAGAGTTCTTGGATAGAATATGATATAATTTTGCATGAGTACGGAAAACTTGGAAGATCTTGGAACATTGTTTTTTTTTGCTTCGGACACACATCACCAGGATATATATATACATATACATATATATATATATATTATTCTTCCCTATATACATAATAATATATCATAATATATCAATACATATGGTTGCTATTTTATCTAATTAAGAACAGAACCACCATCTATCATCATCATAGAAACCTGTTGTTTTTCAGGGGTAAACCTTCCAACCTAGGATGAACACAGCGAGCTGCGCCGCGCGATGAGCCGCTCCGTGGCCGACTTTCTGTCAGGTGTCGACGAGGAGACCAGGGATGGATGGGAAAAAACTTAGGAAAAACCATGGAAAAAACATGGAGAAGATGGATATGTTAACTATGTTAACTATCAATTAGTTGTTTTTTTGCAGCAAAATGTGTGATTTCACCACCAACCTGGTGATTCAATGGGGGATTCGTTCGACATAGTGGTATGATGGAATACAATAGTGGGGATATTTGGATAGTTGCAGCCATATGTTAGCTACGCTTCTTTGTTTCACCAAGATGGCTTGGGTCTATGGTAGATATCTAAATAGTTAACGCACTTTAAATTTAGGAACTGGGACACACTTGTATATGTCTATGCAAACAAAAATGGCGGTATATTGGGGCAAGATGGGGATCTCATGGGGATATCAGTATTCAAAATCCCTGTTGCTTCATATTATTTCTTTGGACAAATACGGACAACATAGTCCCAAATTAAAATTCTCCGGTATATATACTGCTGATCAATTAACCATGGGGTTTTGGATGGTTTTGGGCTCTTCACATTGTTCAATTATCAGACAGTTTTGTGTGAATGGAAAACATGGGGGACAATATATATATACATATAATATGATGTCTTGCTATTTCTGGGGTAACTTAATGTAGCATATAGAAACCATATTTTGTATATTTTGTATGAAATAGTTGAAACCAGCAAATTTCCACAGGAGCTTGACATCGAGGGGCCAGCTGACGAAAGATTTGACGAAACGCCTGAAACCGCCCTGCAAGCAGCGGAGGCTGGGGTGAGCAGTCCACAAAAAGTGGGCTTCCGTAACCGTTCTTTTCCAGGATGTTAAAAACTATTTCTGGTTGGTGGTTTGGAACATTTGGATTATTTTTCCATTCAGTTGGGAATAATCATTCCAACTGACGAACTCATATTTTTTCAGAGGGGTGGCTCAACCACCAACCAGATTTCTACATGGGATATCTATCACCCCCCTTGAGGACTTTCGAACCAGTCCCTGGAGGCCCCTTAAATGTCATGTGTTTCTTCAGCATGTTTTCCTCGTTGAAATGTCCGTTAAACGGGGGAAATGTACTATGTTGCGACACACCAATACTATTTTAATAGTTCTCCAAAAACTGTTCTTCACCATTTTAGATGGGCTAGCATCAAATATCGAAAGATTTATCAATCCACCTGCAGCGTAGACAGCGTAGAATGTCGATTTTGAGACTTTAATCGGGGATATACCATTCTGGTTGGTGGTTTGGAACATTTGGATTATTTTCCATTCAGATGGGAATAATCATCCCAACTGACTTTCATATTTTTTCAGAGGGGTGGCTCAACCACCAACCAGATTTGGTAATCAAATATGGCAATGATAAATCCCAATGCATCCCTGATTCTCCCATCTATTTTTGTTCATGAACCATGTTTGATTACCGGAGGGCAATATTTATCAAGGGGAAAATCATGGGTTATACTATATAATACCAGAAGATTGTCATAAGAAATGGACATAATGATGAAACAAACACACGGAATTGAGGGTATACCAGTATACCGTTTTCAGACGAGCCCATAAGTAGCGAGGGCGATCGTGCCAGTTCGATTGGTTCAGGAGTTCCATTTGAATCGTGAACGATATTTTTTCATTTGTTGAATTGTGATTTTGTTTTTTCGTTGCTGTTCCAGGGTGTTTCGCGTTTCCCGTGGTTCCTCAATTGACAATCACAAGGTTTAAGTGCGGTTGAATCCCTCAAGATCTTGGTTAATTAATGTTAATTAATGTTAATTAATGTTAATTAATGTTAATTAATGTTAATTAATGTTAATTAATGTTAATTAATGTTAATTAATGTTAATTATCATGTCACCAGATCCATCCATCATATCAATTTATACAAAGACGACCTTGATATCAACGCTTCTTTGCCCGAAGATGCTGTGAGCGGTGGAGTAATTGTTTAGATTGACAATATCTGGTTGGTGGTTTGGAACATTTTTTATTGTCCATTCAGTTGGGAATAATAATCCCAACTGACTTTCATATTTGTTTAATGAGGGGTGGCTCAACCACCAACCAGATATAGTTGTATAGTTTCACCATGTTTCACCAATGAGCTCTGAATGGTGGAGTCTCCATATCATACTGGATCTCAACATCCAACTGGCATAGTTTTCCTTTAGGGATACGACGGGTACCCCATAGTTAGCTAAGTTAAAATCTAAACCCCAATATTTTGATATACCTATCCCTAAAACCCAATTGTCAACCTTTTGAACTAAACCAACACAAACCAACTTAGGGAGTCTTATCTAGTTTGTAAATGGATTATAATTGGGATATACTGGTTTGTAAGTTTGTAACTATAACTATAACCCAGTTACTAACCAGGAATCGCTACCCTCTGGTTATGTCAAAATAGCTATTGAAAATGGCCATTTATAGTGGAATTTCCCATTAAAAATTGTGATTTTCCATAGTTATGTTAGTTTACCAGAGGGTAATTCCATGGCCCAATTGCGTATGTTTGATGGTTCAACGGATCGTGGAGGTGCTACCGGTACCAGCTGCGAGGCCGAAGGCGGCCCGAAGTTTTGGGCGGAAATTCATGGGGAAAGCATTGGAATTCATGGTGAATTAACCAACAAACATAGGGAATTAATATGAATTAATGAGATTTCATGGCGATTCAATGGGATTTATAGCTGATTTATAGCTGATTTAGCTAAGTTGGTTTAGTAAACCAAAGGTATCCAAAGGTGAACTATCGTTTATGGTAGCTATATCTATGGTCGATGGGGTTGATACACCAACAAACATGTTTGTTGGGGACACCACTGCGCATGAACCAAATGTTAGCAACTAAATGCAAATAGCCTACATATTGGAGCTTCGTAACCTAGTATTCTAGATGAATCTTTAGGGATATGAATGGGAAGCTAATGGGATATATACAGCGACTAACTACTAAAATCAAATTTGGAGGTATCCTAGTAGTATTGGCATACTTTGTAGGTAATTTGAACCACATATTAGGAAATGAGACTTTTTGAAAATACGGCACACCCTAATATGGTCATTTCATGAGGATAATGATGAGCAACAAGGGGATTTTGGGGTACCCTATTTTCAGACAAGCCCAACTAGCATATTTGGAGAATCAGAAGCCAATATGTGGTTTATTAATGTTTATTAACCTAGGACCTATCGACTGATGTGAGTTATTATTCTTGCTATTTTCACCCAATATGTGCTGGTTGGTGGTTTGGAACATGTTTTATTTTCCATTCAGTTGGGAAGAATAATCCCAACTGATCAGTTTTTTTTTCAGAGGGGTAGGTATACCACCAACCAGATGTGGATATACCCCCTGGTAAATTAACAGTTTGACCCTGAGTTTTTCACCCATGTTTTTCATGGAAACTAGTCTTCCAAGCCCGATGACTGCCAGGGTCTATGCTAATATACCAGAGGGTAAAGCCCAGATTATTATTATCATTACCCTCTGGTAATTTAACATAGCTATTGAAAATGACCATTTATAGTGGATTTTCCCATAAAAAAACGTGATTTTCAATAGCTATGTTAGTTTACCAGAGGGTAACCAGTGATACAATGGGATGTCCTTGGAGATTGTGGAGGTGGTCCAAGATGGGGATGACCATATGTGGATAGCCAACTACGATCAAAATTGGAGGTATCGTAGCGTCGTAGCAGTATTGGCATACTCTTGGGACTCGGCTGGGTGCATGAACTGCGCATAAACATGCATAAACTCTGTAAATCATGAAGCGGACTTTAGCCAATATGTGGTTTAACCTGGGCTAACCATCCTGAAATGGGGATTATGTATATATATATATATATGTAAATAGCAATGGCATTCGATAGCAAATACCAAACAATATGAACTAAAGAAAACACAAACAAGATGTTTGCGCAGCGTTTTGAATCTATGCGTTGCTTCTGGGTTCCAAACATTGGGTGTAGCGAAGTTGGTGGTTTTGTTTTGACAATGGGTGTCTCGGTGTCTCCTGACTCCTCATTGTACCTGGATGCCGCACTGAGTGCGAAGCCTGGGAAGCTTCTTTGCAGCGACAAGCGGAGGTTCACCAGGTCCTGAAGGACAGGAGCTGATTGCCCAAACTCCAGAATCCCCAGCGTGGTGGCTCATCATGGCTATCTAAGCTCAGCTCAAGACCTTTGCAATCTTGGCCCCTGTGATGAGGAAGGCCGACCTGGCGGAATGAGGAGCACTTGCCATCTTTGATGACAACTGGGACATCTGCAGGGAGTGTGAGGAGTGGGACATCAACAGGCATGCAAAGCGCCATTGTTGGAAAGGGATTACCAGTAGCTAAGCCATGATTCTGCTCATACTACACAAATATACCCAGTTAGTAAGCAGTTAAAACATTGATATGTACCAAGAAGAATTAGTTCGTCACCAGTTAATATAGCCATTTAGCATTTATATACCCATGTTGCTCCTGCTTGGCGTATCATTGATACCCAGCTGCTCTTTGTGTGGCCTGTTTCGTCCCTAAGCCCCAAGTGTTACGGCCAATATAAGGAAAGAAGCAATGTGTGGATATTCATTTGAAATACCCGGGATTTGCTGAAGATGATTGTTTATCTTCCCAATGGGAAATCCACGACTTGGGAATCTATGGGGAATTTGCTTTTATTTGTTTGGGGGTCCTTAAGCAAATCCAAGATATTGATGTGGTTCTGGTTTTGTGTTTTTTTTTTTCCATAACCAGTATTCCAACATAAGTACTCAGCCTTGCAAAGTATTGAATCCTATTTATTTCCTGTACTTCTCTAAACGTCCTAAATTTATATAATTCTTTCCCACATCTTCAAATCATTACATTAAACACATTTCAATGCAGTATGACCACAGTTCAACAACCCCAGTACTTTGAAAAACATCAGGCGTCATACTACCCTCTACATACTATTCCCTAATATCCCCTACATCTAATGATTATCATAGTCCATGAACTGGGGATCTCCATTGACCAATCATTGTTTTTTTTTTTTTTCCACTAAGTGGATCAAAAATGATCAAAATTAGGTGAACTGGCTTTATTTCATGTATATAAATATATATATTATTATATATATATTATATTATATATATATATTATATTATATATATTATATTATATATATATATATATATTATATTATATATATTATATTATATATATATTATATAATACATATATATATATGCATATACATACATTACTGTGTATATATATGTATTATATATGTATATTATTATTATTATGTATATATATATATACCTGGGCTTCGAAAGGATACACATAATTGTCCGTTTGCAAGATTTCTGCCCTCAGGGCGGATTTCTTGTGAAGGACCTGGAAATTGTCATTTTTTGACTACTGTGGTCAAATTTGCATTTCGCACCTTTTGGGCTGATCTTACTCTACTTTGCATAAACAAGTTTTTTCTGGACCGAAATTCCCGGGAAAAGGGCGGAAATAATCGGGAAACGGGCGGAAATACCCTGGCAGACTCAACATGACTGAAACTGAAAACATGAAGTGGTCAGGTTTTTTCTTGAAATTGTCATTTTATTTTGACATGGACATTTTCTTTTTTTTATGATAGAAATCGAACCAAAATCTGCTGGACAGAAATTTGTAGCCAATGAATAACCAGGTATATACATACATATTATATCATATCATATATATATATATACTGGTTGGTGGTTTGGAACATGTTTTATTTTTCCATATATTGGGAATGTCATCATTCCAACTGACTTTCATATTTTTCAGAGGGGTAGGCTCAACCACCAACCAGTTTTATATTATACATGTTATATTATCATTATATATAGATAAATAATTATTTCCATTGTTTTAGACGAACACGGTCATCGATATCTCTCCTTCACGACTTTGACAAAATCCAGGTGACGGACTCCTTGGTGATGGGACGCATCGTTGCGGCGGTGCTGCAACGGGCCTATGAAGCCCACATGGAGGAAACCAGGGTAAACCTGAAAATGGTAGCCATGTAGCTGGTGTTTACTATGGTTTACTATGGTTTACTATGGTTTACTATGGTTTACTATGGTTTACTTCATGGATTTTCGTTGGATTATGGATTTTCGTTGGATTTGGGTTATAACAACAGTAGATGATTGGAGTTTACTATGGTTTTCTTATGTTTACTTCATGGATCTTAGGTGGATTTTCCTTGGCTTTGCTGATGTGGGATTTTCCCATAACATCCACTGGGGAATCTATAGGGAATTTGTTTGTTCTTGATTTTATTGTTTTGGGAGTTCCTTAAACAAATTTTCAGTGTATCTAAATGAGATGGAAACTAAAGCAACTGGTTGCTGGGCACGTTGCAAGGTGAGGGGTGATCATCATAGGACTGAAGTTTTGGTGGAATCATTTAATCATTTCCCACACAAATACTGGAACAATCAATTAAATTACCATGAAGAAAAAACCTCTGGTTTAGTACTGATTCTATTGCGGTCACTGGAAAGTATGTTGCGCTCAGATTCACAGGTGATGAGACTAGTTGCAGTTGTTTGCTGGATCTGTTTCCCCAAGGTGAAGGGTGGGCATGACAAGTACACTGCAGCATCAATGCCTGGGTCTGTCTGACAGGTACCCCACAATTTCATGGATTAAATCCTCATTTCCCTCATGAACAATTGTCCGTTTGCCGGTATCCCTTATTCTTGGACAAAGTTAAAAATATACCATCTGGTTATTTAACATAGCCATGGAAAATCCACCCATTTTTAATAGGTAAACAATCTATTTCTATGTGCCATGGCTTAACCATGGCGAACTGTGAATGTCATAACCAGGTTGGGTAATTGGTTCTATATCCCATGATATCTCCATTGGTGGTGTTTTACTCCAATTATTCAAAGGTTAGTCCCAATCAGATGACCAAATCCCCAGGTTGGTGAAACCACCTGAACTTTTATAGACATAGACCTCCGAAAGGAAAAAAAACTTTGCCTGCTGCGACAGCTCCTAGCTAGCCCCCTGTCGGAAATGAAGTTTGTGATACCTCCAATTTTTTTTGATCATAAGAAACCCTTGAAAAACCCAGCTTTCCTCGGTTGAAGGATCTGCCCTTGGCCATTTCCATGGACAGCCCCGAACTTCGAAGGGACGCAGGCAACGAGTTGGAAGGAATGGTCGTCCCAGAAGAAGTACAGTAGCTGTCCAGGTGCTGTTTACACCACAGATGTTCTGGATGCCACTACAACATGCTGCAACATACTGCAACATACTGCAACTATATTATGTACTGTTCCAAGTTGTGCATCATTTATTTGTTTTATTTTGGATCATGTTGGATCGTTTTGGCTTGACTTGGAATTGAATTCTATGGATCAACAGTTTGGTAGTAAATTGTATATTGCCTTTGTGATCACTTGTTTTGTGGACATTTGATGCAGTTGAAGCAGTATAAACATATCTAAATGACTTCACATATAGATTTGCTCCGGATGTTTGGTAAGTTGTAGTAAGTTTCACACTCAAGATGCTGGCAACACTGGTTGGGTAGGACGATGATCCCGGTTATATTGTTCATGGAATTGGCTCACCCACAAATTTCCAGTGATTTCTTGTAAATTTTTAGTCCATTTTGATCCAAAAAATCCGGAAACATGTCCAGGGTTCACCTTATGTGGCCCCGTCATCGAAAATATGGGACTCCATGATACTCCATGGTCCTCCGATGGTCCTCATGTTTTCCATATTAAAGTCGCCTCCTTATAACATCCAAAAACTATGTTGGGACACGGGTCGCAGGACATCCGGTGACGCTTCAGCAGCTTCGCGGCAAGCTGCGTAGTGTGTCCGACATGTCCGAGGGCGTCCTGAAACAGAGACTGATCTGGTGCCTTGGTGGGTCGTTTTGATGGCTACAATGTGCTCCCCTAGTGGAATCATTGGTTTATGTTAGCCCTGTTATCCCGTCGGTCTAGCTGATAATCACCCTTAAGCCTAGTTGACCTAGTTATAAAATATGAAATGTTGTAAACAAAATTAACTAACTATGGGGCACCACCTTGTAGGGATAAAGTTTCAAGGTTCTCTGCGGTAGTAATCCCCCAAAGGATATAAGGCATGCATATTAGTAAGTCCAAATCCTGAAATGGTGGAAACAATCACTTCTTCTATACATTTTTTGGTTACTACTGTATATGTTGTCAAACATGACGATGGACATTCATGAATTTGTAAATGACTTCAGCACACAAGCATAGTGGCGTTGGCGATTTGGTTGCAATATGGGGCCCGTTATGAGTTGGTAAATAATTATAAAGCCATCTAACTGCAGAACGTTCTACCATAGATAGTTCTAAGTTATAATAGACCATGGTTCGCCAAACTACTTGAAGGTGCAGCACCAAACGTTGTCATCCTTGAGCCTGGGCTGTGAGCCATGAATGACACCCGTTCCTCGCTCCTGAAGGAGTTTTTTCGTTGAGAATGTGAACTGTCCATACTCACAGAGGATCTAACCGTCCGGTCGTTTTTTGTCATGGATTTGACCCCCGGTCTGCTGGTTCAACAAATCGACATCAGCAAACCAATGACTTCATTCAAAGGCGGCCATGACACCAGTGTAACAGTGGTGGAATCGTGGGATAGTTCGCCAAGTTAGAAACCGACTTACCCATCTCAAACGCCCCGCGGCCCCGCATCGTATCTCTATCAGGGCCGAAACATCCGTCGGATGATTCAAAGAGTTGCCACTGACCAACAGTATGTGGACAAACAAATACAACTACTGAAACATGGGTGTTTCTAAAACAAAATGGATACGAAGTAGCATCGTTGGAGGCATCCAAGAAATCCTGGGACGCCTGGTTGGAGGCATCTTCCCCACATTTACCCGGTGGATAGCTTTGATAGCATCCGCTAAAGAAAGTGCGGTCTCAGGGTGGTGGCCATGCATCCACGCTACAGCTTTATGTGGAACTTTGTCAAGAAGGAGCTCTTTGTGATTGAACCTCGGACGGGGGACTGGGGGCCCAGTTTTCATAGGGGCAGTGGTGCCCGCGTGTCGTTTGTAGCCCATCGATGTTTTTACAATCACCAACTTGTAGGCTAGTCTAAGTGAGGGGTAAACCATGGTAAACAAGTGTTCAACTTGTAACCTAGTTCTTGGCCCATAACAACTTGGCAGTTTGCCTTGAGGTCAACACTCTTAGTTGTTTGGCGGGATAAATTATAATATCATTATATAATTATGTATATAATATATATATATACTTATTTATAATATACACTTTTATACATGTGTGTGTGTCATAATAAAACGAATGGTTATTATGTATACCAACTATTTATTGTTTTAAACATATTTTTGATTGTGTTTGGTTTCCTTTCACTGGGCACCAACCATTGTTGCTCTTGTGGCTGCATAAACATGATTGATCTGTCCTCCCTAATATTAAATACCTCGTATGACCCCACCAAAAGAATGTTCAGTACAAACTACAAGATTCTAGGGCTAGGGGGAAAGGGCTATCTATAAATCTAATTGCCATCCTGCATTTACTGCTACCCCCACCAGTTATGTTTGTTGGTTTATGAAGTTAAACAGATGTACAATGATAAATGATAAACCTACGACAAATCCTAGTGAAATATTGGTTATAAACCAACTTAGCTAACAAAACAACCGTCACATGTCAATCGCCATTGTTTCATGGAATAACATCTTCCACTTTTGTTGACTTACCAATAGTGTGGGCACCACCTTGTATGGCTGTCACTGGAACAGGAGGGTCATATTGTCTTGTTGGAAGCTATGTACAAATCCCAGGAATTACATATCCAACCATAGATGCAGAAAAAAACAACATGCGGTCCTAAACAGTGAGCACACATATGTTTCTGACTTGTTCATACTTGTTCTGCATATGTTCGGTGGTTTCAAAAAGAAAACAAATGCAGGATAACCTGATGTTAGGGATTATTTGCATTGAAGACATGGTCTCAGAGAACTTTTCCCTTAAGCCAGTCCAGCGATACAACCCAATGATTCAGTTCGGTTTGGGTAGTCCAATTGTAGCAGATACTTTCTGGTTCGATCTCTCGCCTTGATGATCAATCATCCAAGGCTCTTGACAAAGACATGGAAAGCAGCATAGCATCATCAACACCACCCAAGGAGTGATCTTTCTCTTGGTGCCGGTGGGTCAAACTCTGTCAACTTCCAACACTGAAGAATTGAAGCCCAGAAACCAATGGGAAACTGGAATTTGATTTTGCAGAAGTTTGGAGTCCTTGTATATATTTCTACAGTGGCATATAACAGTATAGTAGTCGAGTTTCATCCTGACTTGCCCAGAAAAGAAAGATGATGTTGCCCAAACTCGGAAGGACTTGATATTGCATATATGCAGATAGTCAATGTGCTATTGTGGCCACATCACCAGATGAGCAGGTGACATACTCCAAGGTTAACTATTTGAGTGTGCCTCTACAGCCTTTTAAGCAAAGGTTCGAGCAGTGGATGACTATACTAATTAAGTTGTTTCAATAGTGGTGTTCTGGACACAATATGTGAGAATTAGTTATATATATATCTAGTTGATGTGTTTTTTTTTAGTTTGTTTCATGTTGTCCAAGGTACTTGTGCTCAACTGCGTCTTGAAGATCCCTTCTCTTCAGCATTGTACTATTGTTGGGTTCTTTAGGGTTGAACCAACAGATATACCATCTGGTTGTGACTAACATAGCCATGGGATAGATGGCCCATAGAAATAGATGGTTTACCTATTAATAGCATGGGGGTTTTCCATGGCAAACTGTTAGATAACCAGATGGTAAGTGACATGCTTCAGATAGAATAAGATGGCCCCGATACCCGTAAACTAACTGTATGCTATTGACAACGGCCCATAGAAATAGGTGATTTACATATTAAAAATGGTGATTTCCCATAGGATCATTGATCTTCAAAACAGCGCTTGGTTGAGCCACTGGCCAATGGTGGCATATCTCCAAGAACGTCTGGGTCGATTATCCTGGGGAACATGTCTGGATGTGGATGATAATTATCCAATCCCAGTATGTGTGGAATACATTGGAATACTGTATGCAATGAGATATAATTTGGGTCAATGAGGGAAAACCAATTATGATTATGACAATGGAATACTGTATCTAATACTGTATCTGATAAGATAAAAGGTTCCAACATGTTCCAACCATAACTATGCACCACCTGTACCTCTGCTGCAGGACTTGGTGGATGACTTCGAGCAAGTCTTGTGGAGGAGCATTGCGGCGAAAGCGCGAAGTGACGCGCGTGACACGGCTGCGGCAGCGGCACGGTGAAAGTTCACTGAAGATGTGGGTGGGTCCAGGAGTAGGGATATACTACCATTCACGTGCTTTTGTATATATGATCTATATATATATATACTATACCATTCGTGTTTTTGTTTTTTACTTGGGGAATATATGCTATGATTGTGATCAACCATCAAATTCAGGGAAAGCCATCTTCAGACAAACCCATGTGTGTATGCATCAGCATTGTCACCCAAAAGTTGAATAGAAACAAACACTAGAAATATCCAACCATGACATGGGGCTCTTTGGTATCCAGTTAAGACTCACCAGGTGTTGGTTTTGTTTTGGATGATGTGGAATTTACTTTATTGATGAGAACTTCAACGTGGTGGGAAATATGGTGGGGAGCATAGAAGGACTTGTGCTTGAATCAGGGAAAAAGACCAGATACCCTTGATATTTTTCAGTTTCACTAGTCCAATGGCCAGGTTCACCGCAACAAACATATGGGCTTTGGAAGATGCTTTCCCAGTGCACTTTGATTTGATGACATTATAAACTTTCATCTTCAACATGTCGAGCAATTGTTCAGTCAAGAACTCGCTGAAGAGACTTGAACAAAGTTTCGGACGTGCTATGAACTTCACTGCTGTTGACAAGTTCGAAGCGAGCTTCGCAGCTTTGGAGTCCGTCAAAAGATGAGACCTCCGATCCATTGGTGAGTGTCGATTGTGCCAACGTTTCGTGAAGTTGGTACAATCTCTTCCCCCATCTTCCACTATATGAAACAGCAATAAACAGTCGCCATGGTGAAAAGTAGGGGCAGGGGATTGATCCACATATTTGGATATATTTGGGGCCATAAGTTTAATAAAAAGGGATTAATATGAAGGGATTGAAGGGATGATGACTGGTTCCATCTGGTCCAAATGGCGTAAAGCTAGGCTTAGTGTAGAATTCCCTGATTCATCTCTCGGTGTCAGTGAAACATATGGGCTTGTGTCGGCTTGTGTGAAAATAGTGTACCACTAAATCCACTGGCTTCTCACGATTTTCCCCCATCAAATTGTAATTTGTATGTATTTATCCAGAAACTAGTTTATAGTTTGCATGACATGCCTTGATCTTTCAACCATTTGCGAAGATTGCGTCGAGGGCAAGGCCATAGCCTGCCAGATCCGGCCCAATCGGCAGCCAGTAATGTCCATCTCGCAGTTTGAGGATGGCTCAAAAAAGGGGGAAAGCTCATGTGCTACCATGCCATAGGTTTGTATTAATTAGTTTTACATCCAATTGAACGGGTTTATATATATATATATGTATACAATGGTTTATAATTTCCCCTTGATGGAATAGATGTACAGAATATACGGGGATGTTTTGAGCTCCCTCCCGGTTGGATCACATTCTTCCAGTGGATTCACATCAGGGTATACCAAGCTGAGACAATGCTTCAGGTGTGTACCCTTTTACCAACTATTCCCCACTTGGATATAACCTCTTGAAATACGGATATATATCAAGGGATATGTTTTTTTTTAGTCATTATGAATTTATATAGCATGTTCCTGAATGTATCTGGATCATCCCTGTTTAGACATCCATGACCCATGACTATCCCTGGTATGTTTGAGCTCTCCATCTCCATCCGACCGGAATCGTAGCTGTATAGTGCTAGAAGAGACTGGAACTGAATGTTGATATATAATGTCTGGCAGCTTACAATGGAACATCACCATGTATGTAAGATTCAAGGTACTTGGGTCCAATTTCAAAGTAATCAGATTGATTAGTTCCCACATATTTCAGAAATCCATACTATAATTGAATGTTACATATGTTTATCATTGCTTATCCATTTTTTTGTGGGACATCAACATGAATCATGCATGGGCCATAGTCCATAGCTATGTTAAATTACTGGAGGGTAAACCATTCCAAAAAACTCAGCAGAAATTCAGCAGATTGTCCTGGGACATGGATCAGTTCCAGCCTCTCCCTGCTCACATTGCAGGTCCGCACTGGCATCCTGTTGAAGTAACACATATCGGTTGGTGGTGCTACCTGGGATGAGCATGTTTCTATGTTTGTGGTTAACATCCACCATGTTTGTAGCTTTTTTAGGTGCCCATTTTTTTACCCCAGGTTCCAGTACGGCAGGAATTTGCGGGACACGCCGCGCAGTGACCCGCGGCACAGAGCGAAGAGTGTCTGTGAACAAGCTGCGCGCATGTCAGTGTGTGGGTGAACTTTCCATGATGGAACGGGACATGATCCTCTACAATGTGGGGCCCCCTAGATAGCTAAGTTGGTTTATAACTCCAATAACTATGGTTTATGATACTTATAACATCTTATAACTATAATTAATGGGATTTATAAACCAACTTATAACTGGGATAGAGCACCATAAAATGCTGGAGAATCACCAGATTGTACCCGCCAATATCCCTGATCCATCCCCGGGAAAATCATCGAACTATGGCTGGCGGAGTTTCCGGCCATGGTTGAACTTCATGTGGGTAAAACAATGCCATGTTTACATACCATCCCCCAGTCAGCATTTTTTGGTTGGTGGTATGTGGCTACCATTCCCAGTCAGGGGTGGTTTATGGCATTGTTTTACCAACCTTATTACTAATGGTATTACATCATGTTATTACTAGCATGCTTGACCATGGTATTTGGGAGCCCATCCCACTTCGTAAATGGGTTATACATGGTTATACATGGTTATACATGGTTACCCCAAGAAGTTATAGAACATCTCCATATACGCTCTGGTAAACTAACACAACTATGGAAAATCACCATTCTAACGGGTCACTAAACCATTTCTATGGCCATGTTCAATAGCTATCTTAGTTTACCAGAGGGTGGTTACACTCCAGTCGCGTCGACCAGGTCCAGAGCCACAGCAACTGCCACATGAGTTGCTGGTGCCGAAGGTAGCGAAGGGATGGAGGAAAACTGTGGACAAGGTGGGTAAAGACCTTCAAATGATGGAACATCTAACATGGGATACTAACGGCGCAGGGATATATTGGGATATTTATATATATATATATATATTATATAACCCACTATAATCAAAAGTTGGATGATTTACAGTACCCATATGGTTGATGGGTCTAAACGTATCAAGGACTTTTTTTGGGCGGGTGAACATCCATTTCACGGACAGTTTGGTGTAAAAAAATAGGGTAGCAGGGTTTTGACACATGCCGTTTTGGTCATAAATGGAAATCATTATTGGAATCTTAAGCAGAGAATTGACATATTGCATGATTTTTCCAACTGCTCTGGATGGTTTAGGGGCTTAAGCATTTTGTCACGAAGTAGACTTATTCGGAATGCATAGGGAGTGGAGGAGAGTGGACCTGGGCCTAAACCGCTTTTGACCTGAAAAGACTTCCACAAGGATTCATTGGGTAATCAACCCCCTTTTGTGGGGTATCCGGACATGTCATTTACCCAGGAATGGATTGTGAAACGATGTTACCCTTCGGTAATCAAACATGGCTGGCTGGAAAATACACCATTTACCTCCATTTACCCTATGGTTATGTCAAAGTAGCTATTGAACATGGCCATTGAAATCGTTGATTTACCCACGAAAAATGGTGATTTCCATAGCTATCTATCTGTTTGGTGGTTTCAATCATGTTTTATTTTCCATTTCATATATGGGATAATTATTCTTCCCATTGACGAACTCCATCATTTTTAAAGATGGTTATTGCACCACCAACCAGATAATCACCATAAACCCAACAGTTACATGTGTTTTTTTTACGGTAAATCATTGAACTGCGTGGGCCAATAGCTGGGGTAAAGTGGTACGTTCTCAACAATGGCTCTCTCATAGACCCATTCAACCATTTTGGCTAGCAAACTCCTCATTTTCAGGATTGTGGTTCCAAGACATCGTTGTCATTTGCACCAGAAACACATCCAATGAGTTTCAATGTGCGGCCCCCCTAGTCCTAAGTTGGTGTAAAGAACCCATGGCCCATGAACTATATCGATATGTCTACCATAAATCATACTAAACCACTACCAATCATAGCTTGTTGTGAAGATTGACCCCCAGATTTCGACTAAGGGTCCAATGACTTGGATGATTTGCCTTCAGGCCAGTCGGCCTCCTCTCTACTACGTCCCAGAGGACGGCGGATCAGGATGGCTCTAAAGAGTGATGGTATCAGACCAAATAATGGGGATATGACACTTGTTTGGTTTGGAAGTAGACAAATTACACTTTCTGAGCTGATATGATGGGACTTTTCTGAAGCAGAAATCTTACACTTTCTAACCAAATAAATCATACCTGAGGCTTAGTTCCAAAATGCATAAAACGCTGATAAATCATGAAAGAGAATTGGTTGCAGATTTCGAGACAATTCTCATGATCAGTGTTCAACTTAAGGGGCAGTCAACATGGAACCACAGGTCATTAGTATGAATTGGTCATTGTTCAAAAACTTCAAAAACCCTCTATCATTCCATTATACTGGTTGGTTTAGAGGGATTCTCCGTTCTTGGATTATTTTGATCCCCAATTCCATTGGGTAGTATAATCCCCGAACTAATCATCAACCAACAGGGGGTTTGAACACTGCTCAATTGGTCGTTGTTTGTGTAAAACACATACAATGTAGGGCCCCGTAGTTTTAAGTTGATTTATAACCCAATCTAACTATAGTTATAACTACCATAAACCCTATAGTTATTGCAGTTATAAACCAACTTAGCTATCTTGGGGGCCCCACTTTGTAAGAACCACTTGTTATTGGAGCCATACGGACGTAGCTAAATCCATTGATGATGCCTCTGTCAATTCATTGCGCAGGGTGGCTATTCCTGGATCCAAGTTCACTTCTGAGCCTTCATCAAACAGTTGGTCAAACCATATGTCTTTGTAAGATTTTATAAGTTAGTACTTGCAATAGAAGATATTATTTTTCAGTCTACTGCAAATCTATATGTAATTCTACCTTCAACCACTAAAATTGCCATCCGTTGCCATCCGTTGCCATCCGTTGCCATCCGTTGCCATCCGTTGCCATTGTTGTTTTGCCGCCGTAGCGCCGTTGCGGCAGGATGTGCTCGAGAAGTCGCAGACGGATCATCGAATTTTCCTCGATTGGATTTTTACCAACGCCTGGCGGCACAGAGACGGTGGCTGCGCCGTGCGCAGGGGGAAAATGCACATTGGGCGTGGGATCTCATGGCTATCTGCATGATGTTTTATGTAAAAAAAAACACGTCATATTCATATACATCACGAACTTCATCCAGAATGTTTTTTTGGTGTGAACATGTGGTATGAATAGGAACAATGATGTTTTGAAGCAGTTGTCTTTTTGGATGCCCGATTTTAGACACACCCAACTTGGTAGATTGCTTTGGTGCTCAGGATTTCACCAAACATGGGGATATCATATCAGCCATGATATTTGAAGCAATTGTGAAGGTCACCAACTGGTGAATGGTAGGTCGTAGGTCTGGTGAGTTTTTGTTGATGGATGATGCTTTTCAAATGATGTTGTTTAGAAAACCTTGTTAAACAATGTTAACATATCCAAGTCATGTATCTTTAAGACAGATGGCAACGTGATAGCAGGATGAGTAATTAACGTGAGCGTAGTACAATCCCATCAGAGTATGATCAGATATGGGTACACCTATGGCCCAACTAATAATTATAAATTGGCCTATGAATATGACCTTAATAGGATTTTATAATTCCATTTATCACTGTTTGTTGGGTCACAACGGACTGTGTACGGATCAAATTGTGTAATCTGCCCAAAAGCGGGATGGTTCACTATTCAAAATCACCACCAACGTGTGTTGTTTCCAGTGATTTGTTCAAGGTTGTGGCTCTATAAGTTGCTTAATACCCCCCATCTACCCTTCGGCAATCAAACGTGGCGTGCTGAAAAATAAACCATTTAGTTCGATGATTTTCCCAGCGAACTAAACCTCCATGTTTAATAAGCGATTTTCCAGTCAACCAAGTTTGATTTCCAGAGGGTAATTCATGGTTTATTATAATTATAATTATAAGTTACAACTGGTTGGTGGTTTCAAGCATTTTTTATTTTCCATTTCATATATGGGATAATTATTCTTCCCATTGACGAACTCCATCATTTTTCAAGATGGTTATTGCACCACCAACCAGATAATCACCATAAACTCAACAGTTACCCTACAACAAACCAACATATGATGTGGAAAATCACAATTTTAAAAACTTACTGGTTCTAAACGCAGGGAATTTTCGGGAATGATCCCAGTCATCACTAGTAATAATCATCCCAGCAACCCCCAGCAACCCATCCATTCCCTACTAAGCACCAGTAAGAAAAAGGTACTTTACCCTCTGGTAAATAAACATAGACCCTGAAAATCACCAATTTTTCATGGAAACTACTCTTCCAACCCCGATGACTGCCAGGGTCTATGTTAATATACCAGAGGGTAAAGCCCAGATTATTATTACCCTCTGGTAAACTAACATAACTATGGAAAATCACCATTTTTAATGGGAAAATCCACTATAAATCACCATTTTCAATAGCTATTTTGACATAACCATTTCGGGCCATGGCTTCATCAAAGTCTCAACGTTCTTTCCCAACGAGGCGCCTCGCTTCTATGGCGATGTGCCTTCGCTCAGTTGGCCGGCCGTTTTTCTTCGGAATAAGGGCCATTATGGCCCAATTATCTATAGTTTTATGATGTTTTAATGGCTAAATCCATTATAATTATCTATATATATATTATATAAAACAAGATCTGGTTGGTGGTGACTGGAACCATGGAATTTATGACTTTCCATTCAGTTGGGAATGGACAAATCATCCCAACTGACGAACTCACTCCATCATTTTTCAGAGGGGTAGGTGGCTCAACCACCAACCAGTCTTTGTTAAAAGTGTTGTGAATGATTTTCCAAATGGGACATCCACCAGTCACTGGGGAATCTTTTTGTTGGATTAGCAATTCCGAGGTTGGGAGGTGTGGCTGGATAGGGTGTTTTTCTGTTTTAGAAAATGGTTCTCAAATCCCAAGAACTGCATGTGTTTTTTCCGAAATCGTCCATAAATTGGGTATAATGGTCGTATCATCATCTCACTTGGTGGAAGTTAATCATTGGTTCTTCCATTAATCCCAATCATATTACCAATACTTGATTCCATATGTGTCCTGGCAAATGCATGGAAATCCTCCAGATTTATCCGTTTTGCCAAGTCAATAGCAGCTCATGTTGTTCTTTTAACATCTCTTAAGTGGAGCAAAACGGAGGTCTCCAAAGTCATGGGGGTACCCCCAAGTCATCCAGTCGTCATGACCATGACCAACCATGGTGGTGACTGGGGATCGCCCATTTCAGGAAACCTCCAACTATAAAAAGACACATCTTTCCAACAGGATGGTGCCCCCCAGTTATAAGTTGGTTTATAAACCCCATTAACTATAGTTATATTTGCCATAAACCATAGTTATGGGAGTTATAAACCAACTTATCTAACTATGGGGCACCACCTTGAAACAAAAACATACTTATTCCATTTGATCCGGAAATAAGACACATCGTTCCCCAACAACAAACGTATTTGTTCACCAGGATAGCCGCAACATTGATTCATTTTGATGCATATACTGATTTATACTGATTCAAAGTTTCTAAGTATTCTGCAGGGGTACTATCACTTTATATCTATTAATCTGAATATATGGTGGTTTCCTAAGTCATGGGGGTTAGCCCAGTTCTCATCTTTTTTTTGTTGGGAGTTTCCATGAAATAAACTATCCAGCTATTGGGGATACCCGCATGACTTGGGAAACCTCCATATTATATATACACATATCCATGGGATTATAGCCTTATTTCAGGTCAGTGAATCATTACAATATGATATAATATACCCATGTATATTCATATCATATTGTAGTGATTCAGTGACCTGAAATAAGGCTATAATAATCCCTTACTAATTGGGATACTTATTATAATATCCCCTTACTCGTCATAATAATCCATGTACGGATACTAGTTTCCCTATTAGGATACTATTGGCATAGTCTTGGTTACTACTGGGATATTATTAAGAAGTAAGGTTACATTTTTGGGATACATCCTACTAAATACTGCTAAATCAGGTTACTATTGGGATACTTAGTATTCCAGTATATCCAGTAACCTATTATGAATAAGTAGTATTATATCATAATTACTATTATGATTAATTAGTATCCCTTACTAATTTCCGTACAAATCATCATAGTACTATCATATTATTAACCATCATTACTATTCTGTACTATCATACTATTATGATGAATAAGTACTATCAATCATTATTCCAGATATTCCATTATTCCAGTTATCATCAAAATATTATATAATCATTACCAATTTCCGTACTACCCTCTGGTAAACTAACATAACTATGGAAAATCACCATGTTTAATGGGAAAACTCACTATAAATGGCCATTTTCAATGGTTATGTTAGTTTACCAGAGGGTAATCATCATTCCAGTTATGGAAACCTGGAGGTAGAAGACCTGGCGACCTTCGCGGCAGCCTTCGCGGACTGCAACGCCTGGGGAGGCGGGGAATTGACGCGGGGAAGGGGGGACAAACATATGGAAAAACCATGGGAAAACCATGGGGAACGGGAATACCATGGGGAAAACCATGGGAAAACCATGGGGAAACTATCATTCCTCCTTTGAATTCCCTGTCTTTCCATGTTTTTCCGAGGTTCTTGCTCATAGCCAAGTTTATGAACTCTCATGCAATCTCATGCATGTCCTATCTATTTGTAAAACACAACTCATGTTTGCCACTGAACTCCACGTCTTCCATTTTTTCCCGGCTGAAATCAAGGTTCCGCAAGGCGATGCTCCCCTAAGTTAGCTTCCGTTACACCATCAACGATTCTCTTTCTTGCAATAATCACCATAAACCTAAGACTTCACCTTGTGAACTGAAGCAACTTAGCTAACAAGGACACCTAGTGAGACAATTTTGATACTTTGAAAAAATGGAGAACTCAGAACAGATGAAAAAGGCAACATGGTGGGAAAACCATCCAGACAGATGGATCTCCAAGTTTGATCGATGAGTTCTGAGGGCTTCAAGCGACTGGTGAGAGCCGCTTCTCTTTCTGTTACTTACCCTTGTTTTGCCCCGAAGTAGTTGAGGTCGGAGCAACTTTGAATCGTCCAAAAGTATTTGACGTGTATATAGATGTGAAGATTGTTGATCTTCGGAGATCTTCATTCAGAGATGGTCTTGTTGTGGTGACCTCTGTTGTGTCCTGCCAAGTCATATCAAGGTATTGCGTGCAAAGCTCGGAATATCCATGTAAAAGGTTGGAGGGGTGATGTAGCCATGTCAATTCAGCTTCAGGCTTTATTCATGAAATTAAGAAGTTGCCCTTATGGAAAGGACCACTTATGTACCCATACGATTCAGGTGTCGAATATTGACCAACCTTTACCCCGACCATGACCCAGTCATGTAGGCGGTTTCAGATATGTGCCATTTTCCATCATTCTTGGGACTAACCCAATTGACTTTGAACCAGTGGGGAATAGTGGGATTACATTGAGGATTAAACGCCACCTGATATTCCAGATCAATTGCAGTACCATCTATATAGTAATGTCACATAGCTATGGAAGTCATGGATGATTTCCCTATTCAAAGTGGTGCTTTCCATAGCCAACTTAAATTACCATATCATCCTTATATAATCATCATTAGATCCATTTTTCATGGTTGCTATCCATCTTCCATGCGTTTTGTTGGGTTGCTCCGCCACCCCACCGCCCCGCTTTTTTCCAGGTGGTTTCCGATCGCATGAGGTGTGGTCCGTCCTTCATGGGGGTCCCTTGTGATGCCAAAGTGCCACATGGAGATGGGTTTTAAGTTTAACATTTGGATATCGGATATCATGGGATAACTGGTTGGTGGTTTGGAACATGTTTGGAACATGAATTTTATTTTCCATTTCATACAGGGGATAATCCTTCCCATTGACGATTTTTTTCAATCTGGTTAAAACCACCAACCAGGATATGATGGGATGATATCTATGATTTTGGATAGTAATTATAATCATCTTATAACCATGACGAGGATGAGGATGATGATGATGATGATGATGATGATGATGATGGACTAATATTTGTATATGCATGATATTTATGGGATAACCATATGATTTATAACCATGATTTTGGATATCATAGTTACAATGCGTTAAATAATGTAACAATAGTTCTGATGTGGTATTTGTATGACATAAGCAGCACTACGATATATGTGGGTCCAAAAATGCAGTGTATCACATCCAGAGGATTGAACGGATTGAACTCCAGTGGCATCACTTTCCCAATTTCAAAGTGGAAGGATATGACAACCAAAATGTTCAAACCCATATCATTAATGTGGTTATGTATGGTTTAATCTACGCCATTTGGATGGGGAGGGAGTCAAGGAGCTACACGTCAGCTGCACAGCCTTCATTGGATTCATGGTTAGCAATCTGTATTAAACCAACATCAGCAGTTTTTTCGGAGTACTCATATAGAACCACAGAATTGGGTACCTATTCATGGTTTACCCCCAATCTCCATTGAAAAAACACAAGCAATATATAGGGGGTTCTTAAATGGGGGATTTCCAAGTCACCCTGGGGTTTCAACACATCCTGTCACGTTCATCCATGACTTTGACGAATCCCTAACAGGTGGAGGGTTTGGTGGCTGAAGAGTTGGTACGAGGGCCTGGGGGAGTTCGGTTTCGGTGGCTTTTAGAACTTCAAGGAGGCCTAAAAAAAAAGAAACCATTTTTCTGTACGAAAATTGTGATTTTTCCAACAAAAACCAGGGATTTAATATTTTAATGGTAGCTCAGTTGACTTTGAAGTCCGTGAAAACTGGGGTCAACTGAGGGGCATATAACATGACGTTTAACATGATATATTAATGGGTGTCTGAACCAACTTATAACTCACCTTGTAGGTTGGTTTGATTTAAAGAAAGCACGCCATGTAACTGGTTACTGGAGGGTCACTTAGGTGAATCTCATGGATGAATCTATACATAGTCAGATGTGTTCATAAACAAACCTACAAGTGGGGGGCTTCCATTGTAGGATTCATTGGCAACGAACTAGGGCAACAAACCGGTCAATTACTGGCAACACATGCTTGAGTATTCATTAAACTAACAATATCTTTGATGGTTCAGTTGAGCCAGTTAGGGTTGTTTACTTTTGCTTTGCGTGTTTTGTTTGTTTCTATGTTTTCGCATGCTCGATCATGTCCTTTAATTACGAGGCACTGCCAATGCCATGGGCCAATGCCATCATTGGCCGCTGAACAATGGATCAGCGGAGTCTTGGGATACCCTCTGGTAAACTAACATAGCTATGGAAAATAACCATGTTTCATAGGTAAATCAACTATTTCTATGGGCCATTTTCAATAGCTATTTTGACATAACCAGAGGGTATCCCATGAGAACTGTCGAACAAAGATTGGCTGGATGCCAAAGGAGAACTGTCGAACTTGGCTCCACGGCAACGAGGAGCAGCTCTAGTCACGTGTAGCTGACACGTGTAGCCCCAAATAATCCAACTGGGGTTCGAGTTGATAGGGAATATCGGTAATAGCTGTTGGTAGGGTAGTAGGTGTACTGCTGTTACTATTCAATGACTATCATTGTTGCCAGTTCATTTGTTCTGCTACTAGTTCTCAGGGCAATTAATGGCTATGGGCCATGGGTCAAGCCAATACAGTACCAAGGGACCCACAAGACTGGCTACAAATGGAGGCATCTACTATCCATCACTATCTGGGTAAATTATAACGACCTGACTGCGACGGCCCTTTAAAAGGTGATTTATTTAACGGGAACATTGGGGTGAAGTATCCCAAAATGATCCACCTTATTTTCAGGTTGGTGAATTCATAAAAATCAGCCAGAATAATATCCTAACAACCACGGGGATAATCATTACTGAATGGAAAACACAAAACATGGGAACATGATGGTGGTGATTCAGCTAGATCAGGATCCTGCTAGGTGGTTTTTGAGGTGTATCAAAGTGGGTCCGGTACCTCTGGTACCACTGGTACCACGACCAACCGAGGACATGGTAAGGAACTGGATTTGAAACATCCCTGGTTGCATCCCGCAGTTTCTGAGAGTTAAAAATATAGCTAGCTATTGAATATTCTTCAAGGTGCTTTCGGTTTCAGATTTGATATGGAATTTGCCCAGATCCATGGATGAGCTCATAATATGAGCTCAGTCTTCTTCATATCCAAAATACTTAGGTGGTTTAGCCATTTTTGTCATTGAAATTTGATGAAATTGGAGTCCCCAGTGGATGTCCCAGTCCTCCCTTGGACGTTTGTGGGGCCTAGGCGGCTTCTGTGCAAGTTCGCTCTCTGCTGGATGTGTCGCTGGCCTGTTGGCAGCGGATCACGAGGTTTTCAGCTGATCCCTGAGTTTGAAGTTTGGATAGTTCTACAGAAATGATTTACGTACTGTATATTTATGAATTTATGGTCAGTTATATGTTGATATTTCTTATTATCATTATGATCATCATTACCACCACCACCACCACCACCACCACCACCATCACCATCATCATCATCATCATCATCATCGTACAGTGCATACAGCTAGCAGTTTGCAACCTCGTTGATCTCAAATCACCTAGTCCTTTTTGGTTTTGGTTTTTCATCAATTGATTGGCCCAAGGGAACCTTTACAGGAAAACCCCTGTTTTTTTAATGTGAAAATCTATGGTTTCCTGTAGATTTTCCATGATTTTCCCTTAAACCAATCCTTTGATATAAATCTTCACCACCATGGCTACCACCATGGCTGTCATCCTGATGATTCACCGGTCAGAAAAAAACATGGTGATGGCGTTCGGAAATCCCAAAAATGGGCATTTGAAGTGGAAACACATCGACACATGGGTGATTATTAGACGGTATGAAAAAAACGCCCAATCTAATGGGGTTCCCAATCCAATTGCTATGGTATATCTATGGTATTAGGTTTATTGATGCTTATATCACTGGTTGGTGGTTTGGAACATAAATGTTGTTTTTCCATTCAGTTGGGAATGTCATCATCCCAACTGAAGAACTCCATCATTTTTTTCAGAGGGGTGGCTCAACCACCAACCAGATATAAATGATGGTTGTGCGACTGGTAAATCCCAAAAATGTATAGTATATCTAATGATATAATATATATGAATATAGGTAAGGTTACATCCCAAGCTTGGTCGGTTCATCCGCATTTTGCATCAAATGTCTTGCCGGTTGAGTCTTTTGCTTAATGCCAAATTGATTAATTGGGGTTCCCCCCTGAACAATTGAACCCCCCTACAAGGTGGTGCCCCTTAGCTAAGTTGGTTTATAAAGCCCATTGACTAGTTCGATATACCTACCATAAACCCTAGTTCGGTTTTTAATTCATCAGAAATTTCCTTTTTGTTTCATGGTCGTGGTTTTAAATATATTGTTTGTTAGTGCACCATGGTACAGGATGGTGCCCCCCAGTTATAAGTTGGTTAATAAACCCCATTAACTATAGTTATATCTGCAATAAACCATAGTTATGGGAGTTATAAACCAACTTAGCTAACTATGGGGCACCACCTTGTAGGAATGTGCCAAAAAACACACCGAATGTTCCCTGGCCGTTCCCTCGGCACCTGCCAGGCCAATCTCCATCCGATCCAACCCATCCGCGACCCCTGGACGGTCGATGGCGACGGTGGAGAAAGGTGAGAGCCCAGCTTGAACCGTTGGGTTATCGTTGGGACCATGTTTGGGCTTATTGTCATGTTTTTTTTTGGATACTATATGGATACATGATGATACATGGACCATGGATATTGAAATTTGCTGGATATAAATCATGTTTTACGCAATTTGCAGGTTTGTGGTTGGGAAAATGCTGGATTTGTGGTTGAGTTTCGTTTGGTTTCATGCATGCAGTTTACATGCAAAGTTAAGGGAGGCTCCACCTCGATATCCCAAGATCTTGGATAGTCCTCCAGTATCGACTCAGCATGGCCCATCTAGCGTTTGGAATATGGCAAAATTCATCTCGAAATCGATGCGTGTTTTTATAGGTACACAACTTTGATCGGCCAGGAAAGCTTGAGATGTTTTGATGTGGAAAATTTCCGATCTCATTTCCTGCGAACTCACCCTCAAAGAGGGTCTGGATTGAAGATTGAAATCTCAGTATTGGTTTGGATTTGTTATATTATAGATATTATATATATATATATGGTTGGTGGTTTCAAATATATTTTTTTCCATAATATATGGGATAATCCTTCCCATTGACGAACTCATATTTTTTAGAGGGGTAGGTATACCACCAACCATATATATATACATATTATATATATACATATATATACATATTATATATATATAATATATATATATATATATCAACTGAGATGTACATCGTTTAGGTGAACTCCATGTGGAGTTGACGACAGCACCTCTGATTCTAGGTGTCATATCTATTGTCACCCAGTTGAGATTGGCAGTACTCGATGTTCCCAACAAACGTGACCTTTGAATACCTTTGACACATGCCATACTTCTGAGGTCCGCTTTCAACATGGTGGGAAGCACTCAGTTGCAGATTTCGCGTAGTGGCCGGTGGGCATGTCTGGGTGCTCTTGTAGCAGCCGCAACTGTGATTGGATACGTACAATCAAACTGTGGGATCACCCCGTGGGTGTTTTGTCCCCAGATAAACACACCATTGTTAACCGACTTATTACTGTAATTTGTCAACTCAGCTATCATAAACCACTTAATCCCATGAAATCCCCATGTTTGTTGGTGAAATCATCATCAAATCACCATTTTTGTAGGTTAAATCATCATTAAATCACCATTTTCCCATGGTTTTCCCATGGTTTTCCCATGGTGAAGTCACCCACCTTGGCATCCAGGTTCGACCGCTTATGTGGGACGTGCAGCGTCATCAGAACCGACGAAGCGAGGAGAACAATCGAGAAAAACTGTGATTTAAGCATCAGAATTTGCGACTCAACCATGTTTTTTTTGGTTGAATTAATGCGATTCAACCAACAAACATGGGGATTTTACTATGAAACATATGAATTTAAACATCAAACATGTTGATCTGAACATCATGGAGAGTTCTTCAAATTGGCAGCAATTGTGATTCAAGCATCGTACATGGTGATTGGAGCAACAATCATAGCGAGGCAAGCAACAAACATGTTAAACATAGGGATTCAACCAACACAAATGTGTTGTTTACCAAAGAAACAGGGGAATTGACTGGAACAAATGGTTTGATGCAAACAAAACACGCACACACACATACAGGTGTTCAAGTGGGCTTTAATGTTTTACCGTCGTGACCTTCTGTCAAAAGTTGGGAACCATGTTCAAGTTACAGTACAGACACATTGGTATGTTATATCTCAAAATTGGCCTCTTCCAGAAATCACCCAAATAGTTTTGGGACAACCATGCAATGACTGGTGGTTTGGAACATTGTTTTTTCCATATATTGGGAATGTCATCATCCCAACTGACTCATATTTTTCAGAGGGGTGGCTCAACCACCAACCAGACAATTTCACCTGTGCGATTTCCCCAAGTGCACCGGCGCTGCGTATACCTTCACAGTAGTCACCCTGCTCCTGTAAAACAGGTTGTTTCACAAATTCAGGGCTGGTTTGACAAGGTTGTGGTGCCTCCCACTTATGTTTGTTACAACTCCATCTAACTATATAGTTTTATGGAATCACCATAAAGATCCGTAAAGCCTGGTTACTAGTTATACCATTTTCACTCGTTTTCAACATCTTCCGGACCAAAAAAAAATTCACCAAACTCATTTCGCGCTTCCTGATGTCTTTTTCTCTACTTTTTTGGGAGGTCACCTTGGTCACCAAAAAACCTCGGCTGCCTCCAGGAGTTAGTTGGCCATTTACAGCGCCTCGGTCCTGGTGCCTTTGGTTCGGTGTCGGTCAGTGGGGTGCCCAACGCCAACGGATCTGGGTTTTGGTCTGTGGAGATTTGGGCAATTTATGGAGTTAGTAACGTTTGATCAGGGACATATTAGATATATTATGACATATATTATGACATATATTAATATGACATAATATGACTGAATTTTATCTAGTCATAGATGTTCATAGATATATGCAAATATATATATATATAATCTGATTTTGAACTAGATGACATACATATTTTATCATAGAATATGATTCAGATATATTCAGATTATATAGCCAAATATGTGTATCTAGGAAAGGGATTTCGAACGGCCTCACATGACATGGGGCGCGAATGATATTTCAATGACTTTGTTTGTTCGGTTTTCGGGAATCCAGATGACCAAACATGTTGGTGAAGTACAAGAAAATTCAACCAGGAAAGGATAGAAAGCTGCCGGTTAAACTCATGTTTGGGATGAAAGGCACTTTGTGGTGTGTATCTGGATACATTCCAGTAGGCTTATGTCCAACATCAACCCGAACATGAATTCTGGGGTGTGTTTGAAAAAAACAAAATATATACATACGTACATACCTATACGTATATCCCCATGTTTGTATCTTCAGTTGCGGGATATGATCTCCTCTTCCTTACATGACCGCCTTTCTCTTCACTCACCATCTTCGACTCACGTCTCAAGTATTCTTGTTTTACTGAATGGTTTCATACATCAGTATCATCACAATCTTTGCAGCTTGAAGTCTATGTTCTTATTACTTCTGCGATTCTAAGTAGTGGCTACATCCCCCTAAACAGTGACACTGACAGAGGAAATAACCTTGGCAATCAAACATGGCAATGAACAATTCCCCATGGGTGATTTTCCCGTTGGGGGATTGGCCAGCATTGCATCTCCCGTTCAGGCCAGTCGCTACTGACAACCACACTGCCATTTGCGCATCAACTGCTCTGCGTAAGCAGGACGGGTGTGGTGTTGGCGGCTTTCCGCACGAATCGGCGACTTTAGACTGAATGATTTGAATTGTTCAATGCCTGGACTGCAAACCTTGTAGAAACACCATATTTTCGGTTTGATTTGCATCTGTACGCATTCCCTCCTTGGACAACTTACTGATACACAAATATTGTGCCAATTCAATGTGTATATATATATATATGTATATACATTTATGTATATAATACACATATCACCCGGGTCACAAGAAACATGGACCTTGGTGTGGCATGGGATCCAAAAAAAAGCGTCCCAGAATAACTATTTTGAAGATATCAGATATTATATAGTATATTTTAGTGTATATTAATTTAAAGTGATATAGATATACACGTAGATTTCTATATTATCTGGTTGGTGGTTTGGAACATTTTTTATTTTTCCATATATTGGGAATAATCATCCTAACTGACTTTCATATTTTTCAGAGGGTTTGAATCCACCAACCAGACATATACACGTAGATTTCTATCCTATATTTTATATGTACGTTTTTTCAGGAACATTGATCCCCTTTTGTCAAAGATTTCTGAAAGACTCTCCTGCCCAGCTCCGCAGGGGTCAACACCGGCAGTTGCAATTCCTGCCTGGACCCATGATGAAGCTCATCATGGATTTAAGCCCGGTCCCCAACAAAACCCACCAGGTTTGGGAACAAATGAATTTGTTGAAGGTCCTTTGTCAATATAATATATTGTTTGGCAATGACATAGATGGATATAAATGGGTGATATACCAGGAAATGATGATTCAGCCTTAGATTCTGACTACGACAGTTAAAACATGCAGAGAACTGACGTCTATTCTCCATGAGCAGACCCTTGTGCTGAGAATACGCACCACCTTGGGGATTCTGGGCTTGTCATGATGAGGCCATGAGCTCGGAATACCCACTCATCAAGCATTACTGGTTGGTGGTTTATGATGGTTTCATATCTGGTTGAAAATTCCATGTATAGTGGATTTACCCATCAAAAATGGTGATTTTCCCATTAAAAATGGTGGTTTCAAACCATGAAATTTATGTTTCCATTTCATATATGGGATGTCATCCGCAACCCATTGACGAACTCCATCATGTTTCATTCTTCAACATCCGACTTATGGAGCAAAGCCCATTTTCCATGGCTATGTTAAGCAACCACCATTGATATCCCATTAATATCCCATTGAATCACTATAAAATCCCATTAAATCACTATAAAATCCCATTAAATCACTATAAAATCCCATTAAATCACTATAAAATCCCATTAAATCACTATAAAATCTATAAAATCCCATTAAATCACTATAAAATCCCATTAAATCACTATAAAATTCCATTAAATCACTATAAAATCCCATTAAATCACTATAAAATCCCATTAAATCACTATAAAATCCCATTAAATCACTATAAAATCCCATTAAATCACTATAAAATTCCATTAAATCACTATAAAATCCCATTAAATCACTATAAAATACCATTGAATCACTATAAAATTCCATTAAATCACTTTAAAGTCCCATTAAATCACTATAAAATCCCATTAAATCACTATAAAATCCCATTAAATCACTATAAAATTCCATTAAATCACTATAAAATCCCATTAAATCACTATAAAATACCATTAAATCACTATAAAATCCCATTAAATCACTATAAAATACCATTGAATCACTATAAAATACAATTAAATCACTATAAAATCCCATTAAATCACTATAAAATCCCATTAAATCACTATAAAATCCCATTAAATCACTATAAAATCCCATTAAATCACTATAAAATTCCATTAAATCACTATAAAATACCATTGAATCACTATAAAATCCCATTAAATCACTATAAAATTCCATTAAATCACTATAAAATCCCATTAAATCACTATAAACTACCATTAAATCACTATAAAATCCCATTAAATCACTATAAAATCCCATTAAATCACTATAAAATTCCATTAAATCACTATAAAATCCCATTAAATCACTATAAAATCCCATTAAATCACTATAAAATCCCATTGAATCACTATAAAATCCCATTAAATCACTATAAAATCCCATTAAATCACTATCAAATCCCATTAAATAACCATAAAATCCCATAAATCACTATAAAACCAGAGGGTATATATGTTGATGTTGATTTTGGAGCTTTCCAAAAAGTCATGGGGCTATCATGGATGACCATGGTGACGACGATTCCCCATGCCCGAAAGGTGCTGACATCGACGGAGAGACGCTACGCACTGGCGTGGCGGAGTTCAAAAATAAGGCCAGAAACGCAAAACAAAATCGCAGCTTATAGTTTGAGAATATTGTCATTGTCATATAAGTTTATGTTATGTATCCTCTGTACATAATAATACACATTTTTTTGTAGAACATATATACTTTTGTACATACACTATGGATATATCATATACTTATTGCTAGTTGTAGTTTATATATGGTTAGGATAACCAAGATACTCCTGGATGCCAGGCTACTGACGCCGCTATAGATATATCAGTGATGGACAATTGGAATTCGATCATAAGAATATATGGAGAAACGTTGGGATTCAACTTGTTCAACCATCTCTTTTTTTTTTTAGAATAACATTATTTAATCAACACACATTTGGATTGATGGTTGAATTATGACAAGCTGATTTGTAACTAGGCTGACGAGCCAGGATTTCTGGTGGCTAGATCGATATTTGGATGGTTTATAAACCAACAAACATACCTCAGGGGCCCTTCTTGTATGGGAACATACAAAATACTATATCAAACACAAAAAGTCAAAAACAATGAGCAAAATTAAATTGAAAACTTTTGCAGTCAATTATGGGGCTTGGGATTTTGATTTGGGGACATAAATTTGGATCCTTTGAGCCCCATATTATACCCATACGAAATTATAGCTATGTATAAATATATTTATATATATGTATATAGGTACACGTATATGATTATATAACTATATAATATATATGTGTTCGTGTATTTGTATTTAGATCATGTGATATATATATATGTCATGTGATATAATACCAACATATATTTCCTTCATACTAAATATAACTGATTAAAATATATTTAAGATAATAGAGAATAACACAGCATTCCCATCTCCGCAGACACACACACACACACACCAAGAGGTGGTTCAGGGTGATAGATAGATATAGACAGTTGTATATATATATATATATGTGTGTGTGTGTCGAATTCATATTGAATCCGATGAAATATGTATACTCATAAGTATATATTCACATACATATATATATATATATATGTACGTATGTCAGACCTACAAACACATATATATATATTTACATATACACATATGTCTTTTATGTGTCGGTGTGTACATACCTGGATAGAAACACATATATGTATATATGTATGATGTTTATATTATATATATATGTGGCAGGGTGATATTTCCCATACAAGATTTAATTCCCAAAAAACTTGAGAATATATGTTAGAGGACCTAGAGTCCATCAATTAAACGGGGCATACTTTGAATTCAGTGTCCTGAAATTCAGGCTCACTCCAATCCTCTTCCATTGCATCCATTGCAGCTGGGTCAGTAACAAGCCAATGAGAGAAAATGCTGCAGGGACGCTCTGTTACTAAACTTATGAACTTCCGCCGAAAATCCATACAAATCAGCAGAACTCAGGCGCACATTTTGTGATGTTGAGTTCCGCCGAAAAAAAAAAAATCAGCAGAAATCCTAGGGAAAACCATTGAATCAGCAGAAGTCCACTACACATTTTGTGATGTTGAGTTCCGCCGAACCATAGGTCTGAATACTAAGTTCCGCTGAAAAAAAACTTTTTCAGCAGATGTCAGGTGCATAATTTGTGTAGTGGAGTTCCGCCGAAAAACAAAAAAAAACATAGTCCGTAAAAGAAATTGCAAGCGATCAAGGGGCAGAGGCCTCCAAAAGTTCCGCCGAAAAAAAAAAAAATCAGCAGAAGTCAGGTACACAGTTTGTGTAGTGGAGTTCCGCCGACGGACAAAGTCCGTAAAAAAACAAATGCAACCGATCAAGGGGCACAGGCCCCCAAAAGTTCCGCCGAAAAATTTTTTTTTCAGCAGATCTCAGGACGTCTCATGCCCCATAATCGTCCGCAACGGAAAAAAGGTCCACAAAGTCTGTAAAATAAGTTACTGAAAAATTTAAGGTTTAGATCCTAACAAAATTGAACCTTTGACAGATTTGATTTTTTTTGGGATTGTTACTATCTTGATTTGTTGGCTCTATGCACCTTTACTATAGTTCAAAAGGCATGTGTCTTGGCTATTTTCGGTCGCTGCTGCCTCCATATACCCAGTTAATCCCAATTAGATCCTGAATATGTAAAATGCAATCACTTTAAAGTTGTTTGACCTGGGATCCCATTAAACAGAATTTCGATTTAGGAATGATGTTATTTCGAAATTTGGACTGGACATCCTTTTGCGTCAATAGAATTGGAAAAGGGTTTGAAAGAACATGGTTTCCAATTAGCGGCTAAAGGGCTAAAGGGTCCCAATTGGTTAAATAAGAATTGCGGGCCAATGATCTCATTGGCCGAAGGAATCTTAGTTGTCGGCATGGTCATATCTTAACAATCTTAGCAGGCTACCTGTATTAACATCAAAACCTTTCAAAGGAAGGGTTGATTTAGGTTGATTTATGTAAAGAAAAAGGTCCATGAAACCACATGTGGAAGACCCATAATCCAGGTCCAGAGCCCCATAATCGATTGCAAAAGTTTTTGAGAGAAAAACATAATTTATAGCGGGACATAGAACCACCGATTTGATATTTGGGTGTGCTTTGATATTTTGGGCTGTGCCATATGGCGATTTTGATAGGTGCATGATGATTTACATGTGGATTTAGGGTGCATGTTTTTTTTTTTTTATCAGGACGCACCCCAAGCAGTATCTCATAGACATGCGTTTACATTACAGTCCAATGGCATTACATTCCAATAATTAACAACATATGCATATTTGCCATACTACAATAAAAGGTTCTTACAAGACAATACAACTAAAGCGTGTCCAAGAACAAGATAACACAGTGTTAACGCACTACAACATAATGATCCCTGGGGATCCAGTCGTACCTCATCCAGGCTCAGGCAGCTTCAAGCCGAGCAGAAACGCCGTCAATGATGTGGCCTGGCAGCACCATTGAAATTGGGTATTTCGTGGGATTGAATCATGATTTTTACATGTCATAAAGAAATAACAATGAAAAATGATGCTTTAACCAAGAGAAATCATGATATAATGGGATATATACTGGGATATTGATTAGTATAACCAGTTAATCCATTTAAACTACCACTGTTAGTTGTTTTTTTTAATCATGAGGTTATTATGCTAATTACATCTAATTGCGCGGTTGATGGATTAAGATAACCAATAATTATTCAATCATTGACGGGATGCTATTATATAACTATAACCAGTATCATGGCATGGGATAGGGCTACATTTCATGTCTCAAATGATGGTTAGTAACGGACCTCAACTTGAGGATGATTTTCCTGCAGCTGAGATGGTCAGGAACCGTCAGTCACTTACCCTTTGGTAAACTGGTAATATACCCTCTGGTAAACTAACATAACTATGGAAAATCATCATTTTTTATGGGAAAATCAACTATTTCTATGGCCATTTTCAATAGCTATGTTAAATTACCAGAGGGTAGCTAAACTGGCGATTTTCGATAGCAAACTGCAACAGTTTACCAGAGGTTACTGTATTTGGATGTGAGGATCATGTTCCCCAAATATGTTTCACACCTGGAGTAGTTTCTAGTATCAGGTTGTATTTGGTATGAGGGTGAGAGGCTTCCCCCTAATAATGAAATCAAAACCTTCAACGAAGATGATATTAAGAACGAAATCTTTCGCGTAATCCATGCAAAATATGAAAAACAATGGATTCTATGCTTTACCCTAAAATCAAAACCTTAATCACACAAATGTTCCTTTTCAACATCGATCAAAATTCTTATCCATGCAACATATTTCCACATATAGAATTTCGATGATTTCTCCTCATAGTAACATCAAAACTCAAAAAATGATGCTTGTTAGCAAGAGGGGGAAGGGATAATGAGCCTTGTGCTTGGCGCTCGTGCACCTTGTAAGTGTGAGACTCTCTGGCCCGTTTGTTCGGGGGTATGTTGCAGGGAGCCATACGAATGCCAGCGCTGAGTTGAGCAACATACCCTGAGTGGAGATTGCGACGGAGTCGGAGTACGCACGGAATAGAGAGTTCGGGTTTCTAGGGCATCAACAGCCCTGGGACTCCTTGACAAACCACTCAGCTATGTCGGGCGCCGCAGACGATGCAGCGGGGCATAGATCCGCAGCCATGGTGAGACAGAGGCCATTGGGGATAGCCACATATGGCACTAAAATGATAGGGAAACTGGTGATCAGTCAGGCACCCTGCCGCAATTGCGGCCACTCCAATTCATCTGATCAACCTGGGTAAACTGGGTAATCTCGGATTTAAGTTACAAACATCTAGGAAGTTTGGGAGTAAATTTGGCACTCCAATTTTAGCTGCATCCGTGGTGAAGTAGGTTTATCTACAGAAGAACAGAAGGAGAAGTACAGGCAGACGCGCAACCAAGCCAATGGGCCAGGAATAGCTGGACAAAGTTGAAGAGCTGAAAATCAGGAGACAAAGATCATCAACTACATATCCTTTGTTGGCAGGAATGTTGTTTGGCCACTTGGTAGTTGTCAGATAGACAGTTTGTTTGGTACAGCGAATGGGTAGTTGATACATATTGATACGTCAATTGTGCTAGGTAGTCTCTATTTGTCACACAAGGACCTCATTGTTTGTTGTGGTTTTCTTTTTTCTTTTACCATCTTGATTGTGATTCCGCATGTTTGTTCCAACAAAGATAGTGAATGTGTTGGTTCTTCCTCGTTTGCAGCATTTCAGGTCTATGTGTTTTGCTTCTTGATTTCTTTATAGATGTTCCTTCATTGGTATGTACCCCTACCAGAAACCAAAAGATATTCACACGCGCGGTCAGTTTGCCAGTGGTAGCTGGGATATCCCTATGGGCTTTCAACCAGCTAGCAGTTGATGTTTGTCGAATTTCCCTTAAAGCAACTCCTCCCAGAGGTCCCAGCAGCAAAATGGTCCTTTCGTCTTGAAACTCATGGTGTTTCGTCGTTGAGAAAGCCACAAGGTGGTGCCCCAGTTCCTTAGCTAAGTTGGTTTATAACTCCCATTTCACTATGGTTTATGGCAGATATAACTATAGTAACTATAGTTAATGGGGTTTATAAACCAACGTTCACATCACTGGGGGGCACCATCCTGCATGGTTTGCTAAGAAAACAATGTAGCCATGCCAGAAATCCCGAGCCAAGGCCGCAATGGCAAACGGCAGCTTGGCGTGATGGGTCTTCACAAGTGGTGTGATGGGACCACGAAAAAATTGTGGTTTATATTCATCTAAAACATCCCGCCGTGTGGGAAACTGAACCCACGTTTTGTCTGTTCTTGGCGTTCATATGCTAGACATTGGATGCGAAACGCATGGTTTTGGCAAACAATTCAGTTCATGATATTCGCCGTGCCACTGTGTTTTGGCTTTTTTCTTGCGTTTTGCAATGTTTTCTGCATTCATGAGCTTTCAAAATCAGCATCATTTTTTTGCAGTTTTCTTGAACTATGCAGGTTTTAGCACATTTCTGCGCGCGTTTTTTTCTATCGCCAAGGACAATCATCTAGACTGGACAGTCTCATTCAAGACTTTGGCAGTCTTTTGAAACAAGCTGGTATGTGAGGAAGTGCAAGAAGACTTACAGTAGCGTAGCATCATGTATGTGAGGAAGTGCAAGAAGACATGGAGTAGCGTAGCATCATGTATGTGAGGAAGTGCAAGAAGACTTACAGCGTAGCATCATGTATGTGCGGAAGTGCAAGAAGACGTACAGTAGCGTAGCATCATGTATGTGAGGAAGTGCAAGAAGACTTACAGTAGCGTAGCATCATGTACTGTATGTGAGGAAGTGCAAGAAGACATGGAGTAGCGTAGCATCATGTATGTGAGGAAGTGCAAGAAGACTTACAGCGTAGCATCATGTATGTGAGGAAGTGCAAGAAGACTTACAGTAGCGTAGCATCATGTATGTGAGGAAGTGCAAGAAGACATGGAGTAGCGTAGCATCATGTATGTGAGGAAGTGCAAGAAGACTTACAGCGTAGCATCATGTATGTGCGGAAGTGCAAGAAGACGTACAGTAGCGTAGCATCATGTATGTGAGGAAGTGCAAGAAGACTTACAGTAGCGTAGCATCATGTATGTGAGGTAGTGCAAATGAACGTTATTAGCCCACCCCCCACCCCACCCACACCTCCCACCCCACCCCACACCACCCCCTTCACCCCATGTAAGACATAGAAAGATGCAAAACGCTGGTTCGGTTTCCCACCCGTAGGCTAAAACATGGGGGGTTCCATAAATGGTGGTACCCCAAAATGGATGGCTTATCATGGAAAATCCCATTAACCTTGGATGGGTAGAAACTAATTCTTTTGTCTTTTGGTATATTTCTGGGATTATCTACTTCCCAGCTAAGATTTTTTCATGTTTTTGTAGGGTATCTAAGATTGGCAATGATATATAACCCCTATATTAATATATATATATATATATATGGAGATATTCTATAATTGAGGGTATAACCCATTTACTAAGTGGGATGCGACCCCAAGTACCATGTTCAACAATGCTAGTAATAATATGATGTAATACAATCAGCAATAATGTGGGTAAAATAATGTCATAAACCACCCATTTTTGAATGGTTTATAGCATCTATTTATGGTGATTTTGGGTATGGTTTATTATTGTTTTACCCACATTACTATGATATACCACGTTAGTAACAATGTGGTACCATGGTTACTACATGTTAATACACCATTAGCGGTGGTGTAACAAGTGTTGGGAAACGCGCATGTCATTTTTTCGATACATTGGGAATTCATGGTATAAAAATTACTCTACTTCGTGTGATCCCCACCATGACATGTCAGGACGTATATTTGGACATATATTTAGTATATTCTGACATCCTATCTGACATATATTCTGGCATATATTCTGGCATATATCCTGACATTCCACCTGGCATTCTATCTGGCAGTCTATCTGGCATTCTATCTGACATATTTTCTGACATTTCATCTGACATATATTCTGGCATTCTACCTGTCATTTATTCTGACATATATTCTGGCATTCTATCTGACATATATTCTGGCATATATTCTGGCATTCTACCTGTCATTTATTCTGACATATATTCTGGCATTCTATCTGACATATATTCTGGCATATATGTTGGCATTCTATCTGGCATTATATCTGACATATATTTGGCATTCTATCTGACATATATTCTGGCATATATTCTGGCATTCTATCTGGCATTATATCTGACATATATTCTGGCATTCTATCTGACATATATTCTGGCATATATGCTGGCATTCTATCTGGCATTATATCTGACATATATTTTGGCATTCTATCTGACATATATTCTGGCATATATGTTGGCATTCTATCTGGCATTATATCTGACATTCTATCTGACATTCTATCTGGCAGTCTATCTGGCATTCTATCTGGCATTCTTTCTGGCATTCTTTCTGGCATTCTATCTGGCATTCTATCTGGCATCCTATCTGACATTCTATCTGGCATTCTATCTGGCAGTCTATCTGGCATTCTATCTGGCATTCTATCTGGCATCCTATCTGACATTCTATCTGGCATTCTATCTGGCAGTCTATCTGACATTCCTACATGAGGTCCGGCAGGGAACACTTGGCATGGATACTCGCGGTTGAGGTCCGGCAGGGAACACTGGGCGCGGATGGTCGTGGTTGAGGTCCGGCAGGGAACACTGGGCGTGTATGGTCGTGGTTGAGGTCCGGCAGGGAACACTGGGCGTGGATGGTCGTGGTTGAGGTCCGGCAGGGAACACTGGGCGTGGATGGTCGTGGTTGAGGTCCGGCAGGGAACACTGGGCGTGGATGGTCGTGGTTGAGGTCCGACAGCGAACACTGTGGATCGCGAGTCGCAGTTGAGCAGGAGGACGAGGAGGACAACGAGAGGAGGAGGAGGAGAGGAGGACGAGGCAGGAGGAGGCGGAGGAGGAGGAGGAGAAGGAGGAGGAGAAGGAGGAGAAGGAGGAGGAGGAGGCAACTGACATAAAATCTAACAACCCTCACCTGGCAGGTGGGGAATAAATGTATATAGAATTATACTATAATGGTATATAATTCAGATGCAATAAATATTGGACTAATATAGCTATATCCAACTAAGCCTCGAATAGCGTCGTATAGCGTCGTTGCTTTCTACGGGGCGTTTTTTTGTTGTTCCGGTGCCCTCCACCCGTTTTAAACGGGCGACGTTTCCACAGATATGTCAGGGATGTGGATGCTGATGCTGCAGCTGATGTTATCATTACTGGTTGGTGGTTTGGAACACTTGTTATGTTTCCATATATTGGGAACTTCATCATCTCAACTGACTAATATTTTTCAGGGGGGTTGAAACCACCAACCAGATTATGTTATCGATCTTGTTTTCCAGACATTTGGAAGTTTGCGGCGCTGGTGCCGGCGTCAATTTTTGCATCACAGCATTTCTGAACATCATGCCCGCCTGTTGATGCTCCACGGTTTGCACTACTTGCAATGTGAGGACACTGGTTGATCCTATTTATTGGATATGATCCAACACTAGCATCGATAAATGTTATGTGACTGTTAAACATGTTGGATTGTTGGATAACTATATGCATGTATGTATGTACATATGAATGCATATGTATATATATATATATATACACATGATATGATATAATATATATATACATATGCATTGTATTTATCGCATACAAAGAATATCCATATATATATACATATATACATCATATTATATCATTTTAGAATGTATGATAATATTTTATACTTTATTATACTATATTACATCAAAGTATGTTATAGTATATTATTTGATATGATATGATATCTATTTTAATATATAGATATATATATATATATACATAGTGTTATTATTATATATGTATATTATATAAATATGTTGATTGTATATGTTTTATTGTATATTATATATATAGACTCCATTAGTCTAAATGATCAGTAAGTACATGAATTATCCCTAGGATATGATCAAGGGTATGGGGTTCATCGCCATCTCTCCATCCGGGGTGGTAGTTCAGTACAGCTTCATTTGTTGCCATTTGTGATGGGATACCCTCTGGTAAACTAACATAGCTATTGAAAATCACATTTTTTAATGGGAAAATCCACTATAAATGGCAATTTTCAATAGCTATGTTAAATTACCAGAGGCTAAATCATATTATCATATGGCAAATTTTGGAGAGATACAGAAATCAGCTCAGATTCCATTTTTTGTTTCTTTTTGATTCGTACAACTTAACCTGTAGCCAATGTGATGGGAATATATCAACCAAAGCATTTGCAATCTAAGCTCGGCCATAGCGGTTGCATAAACCATGTTGAACCGCCACTAGATCGTTGGTGAAACCATTGACCTTCATCTTCCAAGTTCAAGCCCTACTCATTTCCCAGAAACCACATTGGATGATGATATAATTATATAATGATATCAATCGAACATAATCCAAAGAACATGCGGTGAATGATATCAAAGGCATAGAGTATTCCTCCTCTTTCATATCTTTAGTTCCCGGATGTATGAACCGGATCAGTCAGTTTTTAATTGTGCCATCCACATTCTACATGCCCGGTTCCTAAACTAAACTTCCATGACCTGTTTGAACTGCCAGTGGTTCTGAAACCGCAGTATTGACATTTATGATGTTTATTTTTTGTTAGTCGTAATGTGATATATTATCTATCGTCTATCGATTTTTTTGGTTGTGGCATTTCAACTCTGTGTTTGTCTATTGCTGATCAAAACACACCCACATGTTTTTGGGCGTATTTTGTTTCCTATATTCCATTGTGAGCATGTTGATCCATTTGTGTACCATCATTTTTCTGGTTGGTGGTTTGGAACATTTTATATTGTGCCATATATTGTGAACTTCATCATCCCAACTGACTTTCATATTTTTCAAAGGGGTAAGTATACCACCAACCAGATACAAACAAATGGTACCCAAGATTACTCCATATATGGTACCCTATATTACTCCATTTGTGTACCATCATTTTTGTTGGTTGTCCCCCATGATTTGTTGGACGGTCACCCTAGACCGCCACGTGACGATCCCAGGCCTTACCCGACGATCCCATCGAGGATTGATCTTTGAAAAAATCGCCCGAGAAGGATTTCGCAACGTGAAAACTGAGGAAAGCAACGAAGACACCCAAAGGATCTCTTGAAATTTGTCAAATGTTTGGTTGGTTTTTGTATATTATATATATATGGGTTCATGGTTTTAGAAATATAACTTATAACCCAGCTAGAAATTGTTATTTGTGCTGAACAATATCAAAGATCAGCTGTGGAAACGCACAGAAATGGTGTGTAGTACTTGTGAAATTGAATAATTAATTTGCTGGTGCTTAGTAGGGAATTTTCGGGAATGATCCATAATCACTAGTAATAATCATCCCAGCAACCCCCAGCAACCCATCCATTCCCTACGTTTAGCACCAGTAAGATAATTGTACAGCAGAAAAAAAACAACATGTTGGTGGTTTGGAACATTTTTTATTTTTCCATAATGTCAACATCGTATTAATAACCCCCCCAAACATTAAGAGCATCAGAATAAAGTTAGGGCCAACTAGAAATGGGAATAGTAACCCCAACTGACTAATATTTTTCAGAGGGGTGGCTCAACCACCAACCAGAAAAACATGTTGGTCATGTTCATGAAATTCATCCAACACATGGAGAAAACCAATGGGGCCATCCAGTGAAAAATCTTGGGATGGGTTGAAAACACCACCAAGAAATGCAACAGAAGCTCAAGAACCATAGGTTGGGAGTACTGTTCTCCGTTTGGAAACGGACGGAGAGTTTGCATATCTTTGGTGGCTGCAACGATCTCATATATTGGCACGTCCCATGATGGCTGAAACATGACACAGATAGTATATAAGATCTTTTTGATGGTGTTGTTGTGCTGGTTTGTTGAGTCTGAAACATACTGTGGATGGAAGAAATCCTGCACCACCTTGGATGGTTGAAACCCTATAAATAGTGGGATAAACATGGATAAACCACCTATCAGCTGGTGCAGGATTTCTTCCATCCACCGTATCAGGTTTGATTCGGGCTACTTTGAGTGTCTTTGGGGTAATACCTAGCGGACCGTGGTTTCATCTGCAGTCCAAAGTTCCCTCAGTTGCATGCATGAAAAAAACACAGACGTGTGTGGGCAGCTTCCGCTTTTGTCCAGTGTTCAAAGGGATGTTGCATTTTAGATACCCTGTCGTAAAGTAACATTCCATAATATGGAAAATGCTAGTTGCCTAGTATATTATCATATACCATTTGGTTATTTAAAATAGCCATGGAATATAACCATGTTTAATAGGTAAACCTCTATAAATGGGCCATTTCCCATGGCTATGTTTAATAACCAGAGGGTAATGTAAACGGATATCTAAACCAATATTGATTCGGACAAAAAACAAACACATGACAAACAGTTTCCTTAGGATATGATCTGCAAATGGAATATGTTCCACATCTATGTTATACCGGTGGAAGTGGGACTCCCTCCATGTTTCGGGTAGGAGTTTGAACCGTTCTTGGCTGTTCAAACACACATACACGCAGACAAAAATGCAAAGATGTCAGTACAAAATCAGCTATAATACAATATTTGTCGATTATGGAGGTGTGAGCAGGTTTCTTATCATTAATGCCAAGTTCGTTTTAATAAACCCCTCCCCCCCAGAAGGTAAGAGTCCCCTCCATTTAAACAAACTAGGGCTTGTCATACATAAACCCCCAACCTGCCTGCCAATGGGTCGAGATTTCTCTTTGGCAACCTCCCAATGGGGTGAGATGGTGAGATTGGGCCTGGGACATCCCTTCAAAACAGTTCAAAACCTTACTTTTTCAACCATTGAACATCAATTGAACAAAAATAACTGTAGGGGGGTTCGCACATGTTTATTGATTGGGAGGGACCAACCCAGAGATTGCCATTTTTTTTGGGAATGTGGGTGTTGATGAATTCGGGGATGTTTAAGACATATGAACTTAGTTAACTTAACATTCTTACCATATGAACTTCGTTAACTTAACTTAACATTATTCATTTGAGCTTGGTTATGTTGGGTTCAAGAACTTAGACCAGACATTCCCAGATGGTTTTTTTTAGGCTGTCCTTGGATAGCCCACGAATCCTGAAGGATCGCAGAACTGGGATAAGCCACGAAAAATGAGGCTTTCCATAGTCATCGGAAGATTTCCCAATCCGACAATCCGATCGGGGTCAGTTTCACTGGCGCTTCAACTTCGTCTCTTCACTACCCATTGATGTTGAAGCCCATTACTGGCAAATGATAGCACCTTTTGGATGGAAATATAGTGTTGCTACCTCTTTATCTAGCATGTTTTGCTCCCCCCAAACGTATTACTGGTTGGTGGTTTGGAACATGTTTTTCTACATATATTGGGAATAATAATCCCAACTGACTCTCATATGTTTCAGAGGGGTTGAAACCACCAACCAGATTACTTTTTTTCAATGGCTTCAGCAATTTTGAGCCCGGTGTTACCCCAGCGCGGGGATCTGAAATTTCGGCCCAGCTTTTGCTCAAAGATCACAGGGACTTGAACCAAGATCTCAGGCCCCAGCCTATTGTCTTCTTTGGATATGTACGCCATGCCAAGTTGATCTTCTAGCCTCGCAACGTTATGCTGTACAGTAATGATGTGGTAGATCTTGGTTTGGTGGGCTAATGAGTTATTTCAATGCCCTGACATGGAAAATGTCTCACTTTTTGGTTCCTGTGGGGTATCTAGGTATCTAAGGTTGGCCAGCGTCCCCTATTTCTGATGCTTAGTTCCTGTTTCAACCAACAATCATGGTAGCCCAATTTCTCCAGACTTGATGGGACATTGAAGGATACCAACAATCTTGTTTGGTGCTTAAGCTTTATTTTTCACAGTTAAACCATGCTAAACCCCATTGTTTCTGGCACATTCTGGAACTAGTTGAGGTACAAAAACCATAGAAACTTTGGGACACCGGCTGTGCAGACCGCCGTTGTGTTTGCCAATGGCACGTCGTGCCCTGAAACGTCCTGCAGGTGTGGGAGTCTTGCCAACCACAGTGATGCCATCGATACAATGTGGTGCCCACGAGATAGATAATTCTTATTGTCGATGGTACAACTTAATCAATATATATATAATTATATATATGTACATATTATGTATAACATATGATATAATTGTACTAGATACATGTGATAAAGTTGGTTTATAACTACTAAAATTAGGCCCTGTGGATCGAAACACCTTGTACGAATGGTTTAAAGATCAACAGAAGTGGTTAACAGACCAAATGACTGTTTAACCAGCCAACAGTGTGTATTTGAATGATTCAGAATGTATTTTGTCAGCATTTCGACATGTTTCCAAAATGGATATGTAACATGATGTAAACATCAAAAGCAATGGTTTAAGCAACACATATGGAGGTGTAACGGTGTGTAACCCACCACAAATTGACATTTCAGCCACAAAATGGTTTTGACCCCAAAAGTGTTAAGACAACAGCATAGATGAATTTGACCCGCGCAAAACTGGATTTACCCAACAAAATGGCATTTACATGCATTTACAATATTGAATCTATACGAAAGAACAGAAAATCTGAATTTAACCCGTAACATCCCGCAACAATTGCTATTGAAGCCATGAAGAAATGGTGATTTCAACCCGCAGAAATAGGTTGAAGTTGCAGACCCCTAGGGCCCTGGGCCCAGTAAGATTAGTACACCTGGTTTGTGGGTTTTCACCGGTTGAATCCTTTTCATTCAGATTTCCACGGTTGAAGCATGTTGAACCCAGGAAACCTGGCAGTTTTCTATGGCACCCTGACTTCATATCCGGTGGTCCAAGTAGGTGTTCAGGTTTAGCCCGGTACTTGGGATCCCCCAAAAAAAGCAGGTTGAACTGTGACCCGCCAACCAAGTCCAGGGAATCCAACTGACCAAGTCGACTGTGCATAGCTTCAGACAGCTAAAAGGGGTGCTGGGATTATATCCTGAAGCACGGGACCATGGTAGGCTTTTGGCACCCACGGTGTGATAGCTTGTCCAGTCTACCAAGCAAGTCCTGGATGAGAAGTTCGTCAGTTGGATGCTATGATGGCTGGTGAATTAATAGAAGCTCCCCTCTGCAAGAAAAATAACTGTATCAAAAGCATTCAAAAGCTGGATAGTCCATGATAGTCCCACATTTGCCTTTGATACTTACATGGTTGGACCCGAAACCATCCATTCCAGCACAATTTTGTGCACATGTGACGAAAATGGGAAGGAGTCACTGACCAAGGAAACTTATACCCCTAACTTGCAATATCTAGGAGAACATTGTACCAATTGATAAACCAGAGGACGTGGGGTGCCATATGTTCATACAGTTCCATTTCAAAGACAGTAAATATACCAGGATCGCATGCTGATCTGTGCCGAAGGAATCTGTTTGGGAGATGCTATGGCGTAGGCATAGATCAACTATTAATACCTTGATTCAAAGTGTACCTTTACAGTATTATATATATAACATTATATCACAGAATATATGTATGTACATGTACAGTATGTGTATATATATTGTGTATATTTGTATGGTTATATATATATATGATGCATATTATGTGCACGTGGCGTACATATTATATATATATATATATATATTGCTGTGCTCATGCATGGGGTTCATGGGGTCGGGCTGGAATTATCTATATCTAATTTATATATATTTATCTTATTATATATATATATACATAATCATCTATTATATATAATATTGTATATTATTTTTATATATGTATATTTACCTATGTCAATTCACATGTGTCTAGCCTCAGTGGCAAATCAAGTTACGCCCCACGGCGATCTTTCAGGTGATGGTCGATGGATCCCAAAAGAAAGCGAGGAGGCTGCGGCGTAGGGGGGATCCCAGGAGGCTGCGGCTATACTAAGCCTGGTTAGGTCAAAAGAATGGATGCACTAACTGTGAACTAACTATGCTTTTTCTTACCACTGAAAATTGATTAACCTATGGTTGTTTAACATAGCTATGGAAAGAGGCTCAGTTATAGATGA